TTTAATGCATCCAAGAGTATATGTTGTGCGGTTTCCTTGATATTTAAAAAGCGTATGATATGGTCTGGAGACAAGGATTTCTTTTCCCCTTCCAGATAAAAGGGAACATGTTCAAATGGATTCACTCGTATCTTTCTGAAAGGTCTATTCAAGTTCACATTGGACAGGACTTTTCTGGTATACATTTTATTGGTGTCCCACAAGGGGTGCATTCAATATTAGGATAAATGGCTTTTTCACATACTTTTCATTAAATATGAATGCAGCACAGTTTGCTGATGGTGAATAATTTTGAAGACGGTTTCGATATTTTAAGTTTTCCAACAAATCAATTCATAAATGCTTTTACATCTGTGGGTGACACCGGGGTGTGTCTATAAACCCACATCATATAGGATTATAAAGTAAATAACATAACTATCATGCCTGAATACATACATACATACATACATACATACATACATGACAACCATTTCCTTAAATTATAGAAAACCAACTTCTAATTCAATCCTTACATTCAAAACTCCCAAACAAATCATGCTCTCACACATACTTACATGTTAAACACTTTATACTGATAAAATAGAAGATATCTTGATTATTTGATATCATAGGTAAGCATTTACAATATTTTACATTATTGATAACATATTTAAATGATAGGTTAGAATTCTATTTAGGAAAGATAATGTAAATAACTTACCTGAACTATATGTAGTCCATGTCCTGTCTGTGCAGAGTTATAAGCAGAGTGAATAAAAAGTGTGCAAATGTTAGGGAGGAAAGCTGTAGTTAGATAATGTTAATCAGCTAGGAAGCTGAAAGCTATTGTATTGACAAGCTAGAGAGTTGGTGACAAAGGGACAAGAATAGACTAACCTGTCCACCCTTCAATAAAATTGGACCAACCGCTTGGACTCTTAACCCAAGCATATACATTTAGTACTACAACTAATGAAGATGTATACAACTACTTGAAATGAAAAGAGCTAAAACTATATTCCTAAAAACTATATATACAATATCCTGTTACAACCGCAAGATAGAAATTGCACATGAGTTTAAATTCCTTGGTGTTTATTTCGATCAAAGGCAATTGCTGGGTTCTCACATATCTCATGTTGTGAACAAATGTAATAAAGTCATAAATATATTGGTGTGCATTACCAAAACTAATTGGGGTGCTGATACATCATCAATGTTATTGCCATATTTTCATTTATACCATAAATGATTGACTATGAATGTCAGGTAGTTACGTCTGCCTCAAAATGTCATCTTTCGAAACTTGACCGCATTCAGTCAAAGGCTTTGTGAATTTGTACTTGTGCATTTCCAAGTACCCGTTTCGTCTCTAGGTTGTATGCGCAGAAATGCCACTAGGCCTCCGTCGTGAAGTTGTCTCTCTCAAATATTTTCTTAAACTGAAAGCTAAATCCAACTCTAATTCAGCTAATGATTAATGACTGTTGAGTATGTGATTTGCGATTGGTCAGATGGCAAGGTCCCTTTCGCTTTGAGCGTTCAGAAACTTGCGGTTAAGCATGGAGTAGGTAATACAGTGCAACCCAGTTGATTCCTCTGCACTTCCAGATTCGGCTTCTTGACTGCTCCACGGCTTTGCTATGATGTCAATTCAACCATTAACAAGAATAAGTCCAAAATGTTATAGACCGCCTCCGTGGTCTAGTGGTAGAGCGTCCGCTCGGAGAGCGGAAGGTCCGGGGTTCGATCCCCGACCGCGTCATACCAAAAGACGTTAAAAGATGGTACTTGTTGTTACCCTGTCGGGCGCTCGGCATTAAGGGGCTAAAGCAAGGACTAGTCGGCTCGGAGTCAGTATACTGTGTCTGAGTGAGGTATTCATGTTAAACTGCGGCATGGTATCTCAGTGAGCTAGCATTATCAATCGGCATCAGTCCGGACTAGTACAAGCAGCCATACAAACACACACACGTACATGCACGTCGCTATATAAGTGCAATAATCTTGGACGCGACGTTAAACCCCATTAAAACCTCACCAAAATGTTATATAATCCATATCTCAGGACTTCAATGAACATTATGCCAACTTCACACACGTTTACTGATGCCTTAAAAGATTCGGCTGTGTTACGTTCTGCTGAGGCATAGTAGAATTCGGATTTTGGCATTTCAAGTGTGTTCAGGCTAACTGAGCATCTCTTAGTATTTACTGCTGAACTATTCTTCAAGCATTAAGATGGGTTAATGAAAATGGTCATGAGGCGGTTATAATTACAGACTCCATGACGGCTGTTAAAGCAATTGAATCTGGCATCAGTGGTTCAGGGACTGACATTGTTTGTTAAATATTAAAGTTGGATAGATTTGTTGAACTCAAAGTATATTACGTGTGATATTGTGTGGGTTCCAGTTCATGTTGGGCTGCATGGAAATGAGACAGCAGACTAATCTGGCTTGCAATATCCTGAGGTAACAATATCAGAAATCAGGCCCCAGCCAAAAGAAATCGACTTTATTTTATCAAAATCTTTTACCGTAAGCTAGCGACAGTTGTGGGATGCTAGGCCAACTGGCCGACATATGAATTCGATTTATCCTTCTGTAAAAACAATAGGACAATTCCTCCACGAAAGAAACGTCATAATGACTAGACTTCGTCTTGGTGACTGTGGGTTAAATGCTTACCGTAGTCGTTAATAAAGAGGTCACCCCCTATGTACTCACTGTGACGAAATATTCCCAAGACAGTGAAGCATTATTAACTTAAATGTTCAGGCCACAATAATATCGGATTAAATTTAAGAAGTGCAGCCTATTTTATCCAATTACAATTTTGGTCCCCAACATATTTTATGGTTCAATTCGGCGGGCGATATTAGACTTCTTGACTGCTTTGGGGAAATTATTATGTTGTATGTATACATATATTGTATATTGACTATTAACCCATTGTAACTTTTTTTCAATGTGTTGTCTGATCTGCTTTTTTATGAAATGAGCTCTTACATTTCAGAAATTAAATGGTGATTACTTGCTGTTTCAATTTAAAAACTAGACCACGAAGCACACTGGTTAAAAATCTCATTTACATTGCTGACTTTGCTCTTGTTTAAAGACATTTGATGTGTTGGGCGCAAATATACCTTAAATTGTGCAAGTCACCCTAGGGGACGTGGGATAGCCCACTGGTTAAACGTTCGCTCGTAATGCCGAAAATCCATGTTCGATTCCCCATATGGGTAGAATGAGTGAAGCCCATTTCTGGTATTCCCCGCCGTCATATAGCTGAAATAGTGCTAAAAGCGGCATAAAACCATACTCGCTCACTCCACAAGTAGACCTAAAATCCAAATACCATGCCATACCACATGGGTTTCTAACGATTTTACATTCGCTTCTTTGAGTTTTCCATCATGACGTACTTAATTGAGTACAACTTAATGTCTCTGTTAGCAACATTCCTTCAAAATAACGACAGGATACATCACTACTAGGCTGGTATAGATGTGGAATAGAACCCGGATCTTCGGTGCAACGAGCGAGCGTTTTAGCAACTTGGCTGCCCCACCGCCCATAGTTTGTCTTGCATGTCTCCATATCAAACATGTCAAGTATTATATTAAAACAAATTATTGATAGATATAGAAAGTATATAAAAAATACGTACGGTTCAGTTTTCAAGGATAAAACATTAAGTAAAAAATAATTATTACGTCTTTCTGAAATATAAGGGCAACATCGATCACTGTGTCATTTAGTTTGACATTAAAAAGAGGGTCAGTGCGAAATAAGAAAGTATAAGACCTCACGCTTGATTTTCATATCAGCATTAATTTCGTCATATTGGCCTAGTACGTTTTATTGCATTATCTAATGTAGCATTAAACGTCGATTGATTATGTCGTTTAAGTCAATAAAACATTACATTGCATGAATCTAAAGATATTCATGCTTTAAGAATGACACATCCGTCTTATTGGCTCAAGAAACTATCATTTAGATTAGGCGGTCAACGTTCGCTCATGGTTCAACGTTCTTATATTGGCGTGTAGTCAGATTTTCCAGAGTCAGAGGAGAAGTATCAGAGTCACAGATCTGACTTTAATTACATTGCCAGAAGGCAGTAATAACATTTAATATCCGTTTAGTGTGACATTGACGTTAAGGAAATCCAAGCAGAAAATCAAGTTAAGTTCGTACACATCCATAAACTGTCCAATTCCTCTTTGGGTTCACAGAAGTCCTTTCAGAAAGCACATTCTAAGACATGTTATAAGGTATCTATTTCGTTTCATTAAATTAGGGTAGAGAATATGAAAAAAAACAGTATCACTGGGAATTCTCTTTTCTCAAATTATATCATGATTTGGACATAAATGCTTATTGATATGAAAGAAAGGTCAAAGCAACCTCCAGTGAATTAGGAATTGAAGATTTTGCCACCGTTATAGTTGTTCCTATTCCTTGTCATGAGACTACACATGCGCAGAGGTGGTGGGGTAGCCTAATGGTTAAAGCGTTCGCTCGTCACGCCGATGGGTGGTTCGATTCCCATTTATGATGTCCCATGCCGTGATAATGCTGGAATGTTTCTAAAAGTGGCATAAAACCATACTCACTCACGGACTCATACATGTGCAAGGTTTGAAAATAATGTTTCTGAATTCGAGAGTGAGTGAGTGAGTAAAAGGTGCTTTACGCCGAACGTTATTCATGTTACACTTCATCAGCGCGTAATATAACGAATCGATTCGCAGCCAGACGAAGCAGTGGATGAAAGCATGAGCACCGGTCTAGGCAGTGTACGATGGCACAAAAGCAGCCAGCCTCACATGTGACCTTCCGATCCAGCTTGCCCCTCTTAATTCCATCACGATTCTAAAATACGTGAAAGCATGTACATGTATTACATTTATAATCGACAGACAAAACGAATTTCATTCAAAAGTGTGTTTATTATAAACTTTATAAAAACAGATGTAAGACAAACATATACATTTTTTGCCAAACGAGGAATTGGACATGTTATTTCACAAAACATGTCCCAATAACTAACAATTGCATAAAAAATAATTGTTTGTGGCAATGTGCTTGAAGAAAAATAATATCCTAGGTTTTGCTTTCAAAGCTCTGTCCAAAAAAAACATCTTTGAATGTTTTATCAATTGCTTGGTTTACAGGTAAATTACTTACAGAACAGTCCTTTTTTCTTTTACATAAATCTATTTCACTACTAATAAAATGTTTACTTATCACGTCTTATTACTTATTACTACGTTCTATTTTTTAAAATATAGTAGTATTAATTCGAGCATGGGTTTTTTTACCGAAAGATTATTTGATTAAAGAAAAGACCCTTAAAGATTCAACATGTCAAAAAGTTCGAATTGGTGAAATTTACTATATTGTAAATTTCACCAATTCGAACTTTTGATATGGCAATATAAACGAAAATATAGGTATAGACAAAGCTATGCCAGCATGGAGAAAGACATATCCAAGAGCTGCAATGGAAGACATATCCAAGAGGTGCAATGGAAGACATATCCAAGAGGTGCAATGGGAGACATATCCAAGAGGTGCAATGGAAGACATATCCAAGAGGTGCAATGGGAGACATATCCAAGAGGTGCAATGGGAGACATATCCAGCAAGTGCAATGGAATGCTGCACCATCCTTGACCACTCGTGTCATTATGGGACAAGCGAATGACGGTGCGAGTGGTGACGAAGGAATCCTGGATCTCGGATTTAGAGCTTATTGGTAATATCCTTCTTCAGGTTAATAGCCTTGGTCTTGACAGACTGGGAGTGTTCCTGCTGAACGCTCTTTGCCCTTCTGTTTACTATGTACTGGCAGTACTGGTCTGAAAGCAATACAATAAACATGACTGCAAGGAGGGTTTCTCTCTGTTCTTCTTTACACATTAATCGTTGTTTATTCATAAATGTTTGTTTGTTTGTTGTTTAACGCCGCACTCAGCAATATTCCAGCTATATGACAGCGTCTGCAAGGAGGGTTTCTCTCTGTTGTTCTTTACATATTATTCGTTGTTTATTCATAAATGTTTGTTTGTTTGTTGTTTAACGCCGCACTCAGCAATATTCCAGCTATATGACAGCGTCTGCAAGGAGGGTTTTTCTCTGTTGTTCTTTACATATTATTCGTTGTTTATTCATAAATGTTTGTTTGTTTGTTGTTTAACGCCGCACTCAGCAATATTCCAGCTATATGACAGCGTCTGCAAGGAGGGTTTTTCTCTGTTGTTCTTTACATATTATTCGTTGTTTATTCATAAATGTTTGTTTGTTTGTTGTTAACGCCGCACTCAGCAATATTCCAGCTATATGACAGCGTCTGCAAGGAGGGTTTTTCTCTGTTGTTCTTTACATATTATTCGTTGTTTATTCATAAATGTTTGTTTGTTTGTTGTTTAACGCAGCACTCAGCAATATTCCAGCAATATGACGGCGGTCTGTAAAATAATCGACTCTGGACCAGACAATCCAGTGAGCATCGATCCACGCAATTGGGATCGATGACATGCATCAACCAAGTCAGCGAGCCTGACCACCCGATCCCTTTAGTCGCCTTTTACGACAAGCATAGTCGCCTTTTACGGCAAGCATGGGTTGCTGAAGACACATTCTACACTGGAATCTTCACGGGCCTCATTCATAAATGACATGAATGTACATATTATTTATTACAGTGGAGATTATTCTATGTCCGTCGCTGTTATCATCATACTTTTGAATAGAGTGTAGCTGCAGAAATCAAATTAACGCACTTTGTTTTGAAAGGCGCTGGGTCACACACTAATTGAAAGAACAGCGGGCGAGTCTCCAAATTAAGGCAGTGCTTATATAACAGTAGAATGACCCCCATTTAGAAAGCATATCATGAATAACCCAAAACTTCGTTGAAGAAACACAGGCGAGGCCCAGTTCCAGAAAGCCGTCATTGCGTTACGGCTATTGCAAGTCTATGCTAAATAATGATCGTCTTTGCGTTATGGTCGCTTTGTTTGAACCCATGTTTATCACTGACGTCGAGTCTCCAATTCACGCCAGGTGATTATAATTGATTATATATTACATGATTATATTATAATGCCCGTCAAAAATACAGCAGGTGATGTAGTAGAAAATAAATACGATAAGATCCATCATATAAATTTCATTCTTACAGATGCGTAGGAGTATTATTCAGAAGAAGAAAACACCCTAACGCAAGATGGGCAGGCTCAACGTTATCTTGGGCAAGAGAAAACTCAGCTGTTCCAATAATATTCAGAGAGACAAAGCGAAGCCGGATACCACAGCTGCTGGTGCATAAATGATTCAAGCATTTTCAACTTACAATCGTTATCGTTGACATCCATCTCGAAAACAAACGGTCCTCCATAAAGTTCGCCAGATGTGAGGATATTATCTCCTGAAAATTGAAAATAGAAATAAAACATTTAGGTGTACTCAAGTCCAATATGTGCCCAACATATTTTTCTGATAATTTAGGTTATCTACTTAGCTGTATATGTGTGACCAACAGGTGGGTCGCAATGTCTGACTACTTAAAATATACTGCAAATGTCAATACCCCGCAGGGTTTCCAGGTTAGAACCTGCCCCAGCAACCTACACTGGTCGTAAGAGACGACTTAATGGATCGGGACTTGGTTGATAGTTTGTCATCGTACTCCGATGGCACGGGTGATTGCTCATCATATCAATCACTAGACTGTCTGGTCCAGACACGATTATTCACAGGCCGTAGTTATATATCTAGAAAAAGGTGAGTGCGGCGTTAAACAACAAACAAAGCATATATTAGTAGCAGAGGATACCAAGTTGCCTCCCAGACTTCAGACCCGTGAAGATCCGGGGTAGAATAGGTCTTCAGCAACCCATGCTTGCCGTAAAAGGCGACTATGCTTGTCGTAAAAGGCGACTAACGGGATCGGGTGGTAAGGCTTGCTGATTTGGTTGATGCATGTCTTCGATCTCAAATGCGTAGATTGATGCTCATGATATCAATCACTGGATTGTCTGGTCCAGACTCGATTATTTACAGACCGCCGTCATACAGCTGGAATATTGCTGAGTGCGCCGTTAAACAACAAACGAATCAACCAACCAAACGACTTATATATAAGTACACATTTAGTACACATTGCAACAGACATGTAAAATATACCATTTCCTTACCATTCCTGTCAGCCAGTTGGAAGACCGTCTTGAGGTCAGCCTGGTCCATCGTGTGCCCAGTAACGAAGGCGAATTCCTTGAGACTGACCACACCATCATCGTTGAGATCATAGGCCGAGAACTTGTTGGGCATGGGCATGAGATGTCCGCGGTAATCGCTGCCCTGTTGATGCAGAACCATTAAAGTGAACATGATGGACATACGAGTGTTGATTGATACGTCCTGGCCTTACATTGTGTGATTGTGAAAACTTTTGTTATGTACATTATATGATGTCATTGAGGTATACTGTGTTATGAGTGACCTTTGGAAAATGGACAAACTTGAGGAACGTGCAGAAGCTTTGTAACCAAACGATCTGGAACCCATTTTTGTAATGGAAGGAATTGAGAAATTGTGAATTTTGTTGTTGTGGACACTACATAATGCCATAGAGGTATAATGTGTGATGTGTGTGACTTTGGAAAATGGACAAACTTTAAGAAGGTGCAGAAGCTTTGGAACCCAACGATTTGGAACCCATTTGTATTATGTCCACAACAAAAGATTTCACTATTGGGCGATTCCTTCTGTGTAGATTGAGACCATATCAATCAACCCTGAACGTTATATCCTCAACGTAACGGAAACCGAACCAACAATTGATAGATGTTAAACACACATTTTAGTTGATTTTCTGTTTACGGATTTGCAGATAATATAAATTAACTTTAATTTTATTTGATCGACCGCTTTATCTCTGGTAGGAAAATATAGAGGTACAATTACATGTTAACATAACTGAGCTTATTAAATGATAATGGATCAATTGCATTGTCTCTGGCTACTACAAACTCCTTACAAAGTGGAGCAAAGCCTGACAAACGTTATGTATGTTCGTACTTGTACTTGCGTGCGTGCGTGCTTGTTTGTGCATGTGTGTGAGTGCATGCATGCATACAATTGCAAGCCCGTATTACCTTTCTGATTGAACGCTTTCCTCGGTTACAGAGGGGCACACAGACGAAGGGACAGAAGTACATGCCGACTTTGTCTTCACAGAGTCTGGGACATGCAGTTTTGCAGCCGATGTTCATGGTCTGATTGACAGCTTTAAGTCCAACATTAATCAGATCTTTGGCCATGCTCTTCCCCATGTTGGTAAACTCCCGTCCTAGGTCCTGCCACAAACTCCCGAGAAACGCAGATTGGCAACACACAAGTAGAGTTGCGCCAATCAGGATACTGTTATGGAGCTTCATCGTGCCTGGAAAATATAACCGTTAACATCGTGTCTTTTTTTTTACAAAAAAAAGTAAGGGTTTCGGAGAGTTTTGAAGATGTTGATCGATATGGAAAACAATTTATATTACTAAAGCGGCACAAAACTCCATTAAAACTTACGATTACGATTTTGAAGCGAAACAGGTATATTGTGACAAGAATAAGGACAAAGTCAAACAAGTACAACAGTATCTTTATGTTTCTTTATCTCGTGTGAGTGATTGATTTAACGCCCAAGAATCAAGACTTTGTCATGGTAGCATGCCAAAAATATTATTCTAGGCAAAGCTTCTAGAATGCAAAATCATATCTTCAAAATTAACAAATCATATACAAAATGGAACAGAAAAAACATGACACAACATCCCCTATATACTCACTTGGCTACTGGAGCGGTGTAACGACGTGTTCAGTGTATGAGTATGTCTGTCGTGAGGGTCCCCCACCGGTATATATACACACCAGGGGCAGGTGCCCGACACCATGCGGGGGTGGCAGGTCATTGTAGATGCACGAACAGAAGCTTTGTCGTCACTGACTCACAAACACGCATCTCAGGCCAAGATGAAAATTTTCTGTCTATGGTAACTCGCGAACTCAATGTTTACTTCAGCTAATTATAAACATTTAGGTTATAACCGAATCAATTTCTTACCATGTTTCGACCGCTTTTGTATTATATAATCTTCCTTTAGAAATGATATTGTTAATACTTTTTTCAATACAACAATATTGATTACTTATGTGTTTAAATATACAACTGTCAATGTGTGTCCATTATTATATCAGATCCGGGTTAGAACAGGTCTTCAGTTACCCATGCTTGTCGTAAGAGTAGACTAACGGAATTGGGTGGTCAGGTTGCTGACTTGGTTGATGCATGTTTTCGTATCCCAATTGCGTAGATCGATGCTCATGATGTCAATCACTGGAATGTCTGGTCCAGACTCGATTATTTACTGACCGCCGTCATACAGCTGGAATATTGCTGATCATGAGTGTGGCGTTAGACAACAACAACAACAACAACAACAACAACAAAAAACACACGCATATCAGAAGCTGTCAGTAGCTACACAGTGTCCAACTGTTTGGGGCGGTCGAGTAGTCTAGTGGTTAAAGCGTTCGCTTGTCAGGCAGAAAACCCGGGTTCGATTCCCGACAATGGTATATTGTGTAAGCCCCCGTCGTGGTATTGCAGGAATATTGATAAAGATGGCGTAAAACCACACTCACTCACCCACTTCAACTGTTTGATTGGCATTTTAGAAGTTGATGAGTACAAGAAAACGTATAACTTTATGGATAACAACTTCTGGTTTATTGCTATTATTGATAACGGTGTAAGAATCTACATCGAAACGCCGCAATATGCAGCAAACCAGAAATTGGTATCCACAAAGTTGTACGTTTTCTTATGCACAGTGTCCGTTTCACACTTCACCTGTACAACGTTATATTATAGAACTGACAAGACTTTGTGCCCTTTTCGAAAGAATATTATTCAGTGTTTGAAAACAATACATTTATTTTGCTCTGAAATGAGGACCTAAGCAACCAAATTAACCCACAACCTATTATTCAGGACATAAGTCCCAGTATGTTCAGTGAACGATTTACCTTTGAGGTAAAATCTCAACAAAATATTTTTTCAGCATTTTCAGGAACAGGTTATTTTTATATTAAACACATCTCAAGCCTCCCATGCTCTCCCCACTTATTTGCATGGTGTTTTCCGTTTATAGCGCTATCGCTGTTCTTAAACAGGCGTGCTAAGTTGGTGAACTGGTAACTCGGAATGCTTGAACCTGTTTCTCTTCCATGTGGATAAGATACACTGTAAATGGACAAACAATGTTTCGCTGATAGACAGCATGGGACGTGAAACATTCAGTTTTGCACCATGGCCTGGCAATCTTCGGACGGTACGTCACACCTGTCTAACACCATCTACTTCAGCTGTCAGTTTTCGTCACGACGTGACATGGATGACAAGGTCATGTGACAACTGTACACGCGGTGTGACATATGAGCATCTTCAAGGCCGATAAAAGGACAGGCTTCTTTTGTTACGGTTATCGTTAAGCCTCCCTCGGAAAATGGCAGAGTTTAGGCTACCATCAGGGGGAGGATGTTTGTGCGAAGTAATGTCGATCTTTGAGATGATTGGTCAAACTGTGACGTAGCTACACCAATGGGAGCTTTGATATTTAAAAACTATTAATGCAGGTCATACGTTTATAAATACAACGCAGAAGATACCATGATTCTTTTAAGACTAAAAATAGTGACTTAAACAATGAAAAAATGTATCTACGAGTGAGTGAGTTGGGTTTAACGCTGCTTTTAACATTATTTCAGTTTTATCACGGTGTGTCAACTTAATGTGGGAGGAAAGCCCGAAGTGATACAGGTCTCAGACGGTTACCACTTCGGTGAAACCCACGAGCACGGGTATGGTGCTGACAAACCTAGAAACATAATCGGGGCGAACCGGGATTCGAACCCACAATCATAGGTTTCTGGCGTGCCCAAGGGACGCAACTCTGCACAGCGAATTGCGACGCCTTACACAACTGGGCCATCCGTCCCCCCTGTACCTACGAAGGAATATATGTACACACACAGAAAAGATTAATAATGTGAATCTCGTGTGTTAAATAGCACTGAAACAAAACAAACAAATACTCCGATAAAGAAACGTTATACATCCTATATTAATGTTCTCAACTCGACAACACTCTTTTCGTATGTATGTAGATAAATTCTTGTACACTATTTCATAAAGATCTGTACAAAGATAACGTACTAAATATTATTCATAAAATGTTCTTAATTTATAATACACGATCGACGAATTGAATCATATGCACATTTTCCTTTAGTGCGTGGCAAGTGAAATGTATATAAATGTATGTAATGTATACTAGTACCCGTGAAGACCCTGGTAATGAGAAGCTCATGCTTGTCGTAAGAGGCGACGAACAGGATCGGGTGGACAGGCTCGCTGAGCAGGAACAAGGCGTCTTCTCGGCGATACAAGAAAAGTAAGCGTTCAAATGCTAAAGTTGAAGTGATTCTCTCTTGATCAGAATATAGTCACCCATATTTCGGTATAACTACCACCAAATTATATTGAGGTTGTCTTTAGGTGATTAACTGTTGTTTATTTTCTTTGTCCCCGTGAAGTTTCAGGGTCAAAACTGGTCTTCAGTTACCCATGCATGCTTGTCGTAATAGACAACTAACGGGATCGGGTGGTCAGGCTCGCTGACTTGGTTGATGCATGTCATCGTATCCAATTCGCGTAGATTGATGCCCATGGTGTCAGTCACGAATATTAAGAGTCGTAATATGGCTGGAAAATTGCTGAGTGTGGCGCTAAAGAACACCTAAACAAACAAACAAATATACACTGGTGCCAAAATCACGATAAAATCATATGCACAGTTTCTTTTTGTGCCGAGTATGTGTCCGTTATGTAGTACAGCTTTTAGAGGAGATACGGATACATGATTGTTATGTCTTTATGTAGACTCGATGTAGTGGTCTATGGGAGATAACTCCGGACGGCTTAATGTGTTCATTGTATGGTCTAGGGGAGATAACTCCGGACAGCTTATTTTATAAAATGTACTCTTCAGTTAGGGAGTAAGAAAGGAGGGAGTTCCAATATGTCTGCCTGCATGTATGTCATGTGCTCTGTGTGATATAAAACCCTTGTTCCACATTTCCTGAATCCATTATACGACAATGATGAATGTCAATGAACCACGAAGCAATTTATGTTTGGTATTCGGGTATAGTTTTGTTTGAAACATCACCAAATGAGTTTACCTTCCAATCACTATGAAATGTCTAAATGTATATTTCTAAAGGTGCCCCTCCTGGATCCACGTACATATATATCACAAGAAAAAGATTATGGCAAACAAATTAAATTTACAATAAAATATTGTTCCAAAAATGTTTTAGGATGTTTAATCAACAGAGACATGTTTAAACCAATATGAACAATAATTGTTAAACTTGTTAAACAATTCATTCCGTTTTACATCTTACAACTCTCCTATCCATGCAGCCAGCATAGTACCTCTGCCACAGGCCAGCGTCATGTGAAAATTAGGCTAATCTGTTTTCAGAATAAGTGCGTTTGTTTACAAACAAGACAAAGGTCCCGTCACGTGATATGCAAATTAGCCTGTGGCAGTTATGTTATGCAAAGTCACCACTGCGCCGGAGTGTGACATCGTACTCCATGTCTCCATGTGGCACGTAGAACGCTGTCTTCCTCCCACTATTGCGGTAAACTTTCTATGTCGTGCATTTCAGGGTTTAAATACAAATAATTTAACAGAACAACATATCGAGGATGTTACGATAAATTAGACCACATGTGAAATGTTATAAACAATTGTTTTAAAACATAGAAATGGATGTACTTTCTATTCAATAACCCATAAGTCACTTAGACTTTTCAGAAAAACTATTACAAGGAGAAAACGAAATGATCAAGATATGACAGCCAATCAAGCTCCTTTCCCAGCGCATGACACCTTCGTTACACTCTCCGTATAACATAGTATAGAAAGCTCCGCGACCGGGCTATCGCCGTGAGGAGCTTGACAGCCAATTGGAAAAGGAGAGATAACTCTCGTTTGATGCCCTTGGCAGCGGAAGTGGCAGAAGCAACTCCAAGCTGAATCTAAACACCGTCATATCCAATTTCTTCTGAACTTTTGACTAATCTACATCCCTTTACTTCTTTTCTCAGATATATAGGCAATTTGATTGTATCCTCATCGCGATGGCCGGACCAGTGGGTGCCTGGCCAGTTATTCTTCATCAATCGCTGGAAAAGAGTGAAATCAGTCGACTTCTGCGACAAAAGAACTTCAAAATTCGAAGTAAGTCAAGATGGGATCCTTTAGTCGTGACAGGATCAAATCTCAGATTCAGGCAAATGATTTCGGATCGGTCAGCACTGTTTTTGTGGAACAACGGAGAGTCGGTACTCGTGGCTTTTCGCCTGAGTAGATCCAGTAGGCCTATCCTACAGTAAACCTACTTGTACGTATGTACGTCGGTCCGGTTAACGTCGTGCCGTTCTCTCACAGTAACAAAGCTGACACGCCGTGTAAACTCATCTACCTCAACTTAACTCACTTACTCAATATTTTCTTCTTTGTCCAGTGACTAATATTACACATATAATGATAACGTGAAGATGCCGTATTTGCTCTATTTAACCTTCAATACATGCCGGCCTGGTCTGTCTATAGAAACCTGTCTTCTATTAGACACCGGGTCTCCAATACTGTGATATGTTTGTGATTTTTAATGACCTGTAAATGTATCTTTTGTATGACTGTAGAATTTTAAAGTGAGTTTCCACTGTGCAATCATTAAACAGACGAGACGCCGGGCTGTACGCCTCGACCGGGCTATATGTTATGTAGTTTAACATTGATACACCACTCAGACACATTATACTGACCCAGAGCCGATCAGTCCTTGTTTTTAATGCTGAGTACCAGCAAGGGTAACAGTTTAGTACCATCTCTTAACACCTTTTGGTATGGCGAGGCCACCGTCGAACATCCGACCTTCGGTCTCCAGGTAGACACGCTATCCACCATGAACTGATGAAGGCTATCAGAGAGATAAGCCTGGTAAAATTCACATATACTGGAATATTAGGTATACACATTTTATAATACACATTACATACTCTTTACAGATTCAGAGAGCGTCACCAACAATAGCATCATCTTCCCCATGTCGGGTGTTGCTTTTATGATCCTTCATCTCAAAGACGTCATCAGCGACGGTTGCATCAGAGCAGAGGTGTGGGAGAGGTTGGCCTGGCTTTCTGTTTTCTACCTAGCAGCTGCAGCTGCTTCTAAATCCACACGACGTATCAGGTCATTTTGATTTGATCAACACATATTAGACTATATATTTTTCATGTACATAAAAATATAGACATACATAGATATTGTGCAGAGGCGCATTGATATTACTTGTTATGCTTGTAGGGTTCTACTAATGAAGACATAAACATAGGTAAATAGAGAGAGATATAGTATATGTACAATATATGTTTCATATGCTCGATAATAATTATTATTATTCATGAAAGGAGTCTATATCTATATTATACGTAAACGTATTGACATCACAACTTTATATTATTTATATATACGATAAGTGTCTTTCAAATTGAAGATCAGAATGACAATGTTTTGGTTATATGTTTTTACTCACTACGTATATACCCCAGCAACCATCATTCAATAAGTATAACCCAGTTTCTCAAAATAGTGATATTGTTTCCTATCATCAAGTATTGACAAGTTTATTCAAGTACACCGCCGTTGTTACATCCTGGCTGAAGCCCCGTGCCACGCTGAGCAGGAACAGTGCGTCTTCTCAGCGATACAAGAGAAGTAAGTGTTAACGTTCATTGATGAGCATGTTATCCAAGCTACGAAGTGGGGTCAGGCAGGGAGGTTTGGTCTCCCTCCCTTCAAATTCAATGGAAGTTTTCGGGCTATGGATACAAGGATGCTTTGAATACATCAATACTGACTACATGTTTTGACTGTTCGGAGACCACACCGAAAATATTTATTTTATATGGAGTTATTGCCCTTGTTGAATCTTCGGGACATTGTGCACACGACCCCTAATACAATGGTGACAGGTTTTCTAGGAAACCAAGGATAAAAGGACGGGTATTAAAATTGTGGCAATTATGTGTTTTGAAAATATACTAGTATTTGAAACACTTTTGATTTTTGTTACTGTACCGCGGGCGCCATGCTTCTGCATAGAAGTACTGGTAACATGCACAAGACATGCATCTCATTGTTACCTATACTCCTCAAGTATTTGATGCTGAGCTTGCTGGCAGTGGCTCTTTTCACTAAACGTTTGCATTTCCCAAAATTTCCTTGTGAATATAATATATATTTGCACATGCCCACCATCTGAGTAGATGTGAGCCTATTCTCTGTTTGGGAATTCATTACATCACATTTTTAAACGGAACTGGATACACAGTGGCAGGAAATATTGATGTTCTTGTCATGTCCAGAGCCGGGTTTTATTTACTTACACTTTTGATAAACAAATAGCAGTTGTATATGTTACTCGGAAGACATGCTACATTTGTACAAGAATGGTCTGGTTCTTATTCCAAATATCCAGTATTCTACCCATGACATTTGTGCGACCATTAATTGATAACTACTACATAGATTCTTTTCAAACTTGGTGAACACTTTCTATACCAATAGGAGAGGTGCAGTGCGAAGTTTGATTTCCATATTTTTGAATTTATTAAAAAATACAACTTTATTCTTCAACATTTGTGCGACCTATAATTGAGAACGATGGATATGTTTCACATTTATGAGATTATTTACACGTTCTGTACGAATAGGAGAGGTGCAGTGCAAAGTTTGATTTTGATGTTTGTATTTTGTTTTACTTTTTACCTATAACTTAATGGATTCTTTTCCAGTTGGGGGTACTGTTTTTATACCACTATGGGATGTGCTGTGCAAAGTTTACTTTCGATAAGTGGATTTTCTCCAATATCAAAACTTGTTCAGCTGATGTCGAGGTCGGGGGTATTACTGAGCCCTGCTCACTTTTTGTCTTGTTCAAAGAATTGGTTCAAGGATGTGCGTTCTCATTGTTCTAGTTACCCAGAGAGGCTATTCTCTGATAATAACCTACAAACATAAAAATGTGACCAGCGACTTTAAAAGAGGTTAATTTAAAGACATTTTTTCGCCCCTTAAGGCTGTTATAGATTTTCTTCATTTCCAAACATATTCCTAGCAGTTACTATTGTGACAGTAGTGTCTTTTAATCAATAACTTATATTCATTATAATTCTTGTAACTATTTATATTGTATTTTAGATATATGACGAGTTCTCTACAAATGATTCCAGTCCACACCCCTGCAGAGAGTATCCAAGCAATGTTAAACATTTCCAAGGTATTGTCTTGCTAGTAGGTGGTCTCGTTTACGTGCTAGAAAACTATGATCGTGGAACGAACCCCACATTGGCCCTGGTAATGTTTCTAGGTTTGTCAGCACCAAATCCGTGCTCGTGAGTTTCACAAAACTGGTAACCGCCTTAGACCTACATTACTGGAGGCTTTCCGCCCACATCAAGCTGACAGGCCCTGATATAACTCAAATACATTTTAAAGCTGCGTTAAATCAAACTGAAGAAAACGTCACTCACTGACAATAGGATAAGTCGCACAGTTGAAGACGGTCTGTAAATAATCGAGTCTGGACAGAACAATCCAATGACTGGCGCCATGAGCATCGATCTACGCCATTGGGATACGGTGGTATGTATCAACCAAGTCAGCTAGCCTGACCACCCGATCTGGTTAGTCGCCTCTCACGACAAGCATGGGTTTCTGAAAACCAATTAACTCACACTATATATGATGGCCACCTTTTCTAAATACACATATACAAACGTTAAAACTATCTATCATGCATGAATTCAACTAAATTACAGTTAAACAATAATGTTCCGTGTTTACTGTTACAAACCAATTCCATTTAGAATGTTGCATATATCCAAAATAAACAATGCTGATACAAAGAAATTAATGACAATGTTTTCCAAGTTTGCATACATACTTTTAAGTTACATCTTTAATGCATAGTATTATAATAAGGTTTGCGATAAAGTATTCTTTTACTCTGTTTATCCACCCCAAGTCCTAGACGTTTGGCTGAAATGGCCGAAATCCTACTTGATAAAATAAACATATTGTCATGAAATTTCACTGACGCATCTAGGGCATCGAGTAACGCATAACTCACATTGGAATCGTGAAAAGCTGCTTGTCGTGAGATGCTACTAAATGCTTCGGATGGCCAGGTTATGTGACTTGACTGATTTCTTGTCATCGTATCCCGATGGCGTTGGGCGTTATTATAACATCAATCACTGGTTTGTCTGGTGTAGGCCATCGTCACACGTTACGAGCTGCCTATCACCAAGACGTAGGCGACTTCAAATGGTTTCAAGTCGTGAGAAGCGAAAACATTCCGCTTAGTGGTCCCTTACTGCAGACCAAAGCTGACGAACTTGCAGTGAAATTAGGCCATGAAGATTTCAGTGTAACACTGCAATTACGTGTATTGTGTTTTCTCTTATCCAAGATGGCGGACGTTTCCGAGCGAAAACGTGTATAACGAACAACGGATATAACGAACTGATTTCTCTGGTCCCTTGTAGTTCGTTATATCCGTGTTCTACTGTAGCTAGAATATTGATGCCTGCAGCGTGAGAGTTACCAATGTTTAAACAAGTCGCTTGTTCCATGATCTTCTGACCATTACGGCCAACACCAACGTTTATACAACTGATTGCAACTGCTTCATACCTTCATCAGTTAAATGTATTCTTAAATATGATTGGACATATTTACCTTTTGAGCAAGTTCGAATTTGAAGATTAAACAGCTATCAAATCGTAATTGGAAAACTTTACATTGAAGTCACACTAGGTTTATCTCCATTCTACCAATTGGGATATAAACATTTTCAATTTAGAGGTATCGAACACTGTTTGCAAACAGTTACCGAATCAGTGAGATCTATTGTTTATGTGAAATACACTCTGCTAGAAATTAAAACACGTTATTTTTCAGTCACTGTGTAAGCCTATGGGAGAAGTCGTGACCAGGAGATTCCAAGGTGTTCTCACGCATGCGATGTGTGGAGATGTCACTGGCGCCGCCCTGACACAGCTAGGCCTCACGGAACCCCGTATCCTTCACCTCACACATGTATTGCGGGAGGGGGCTTTACAGAGGCGACAACTAGAACACTTCAGACTTTAAGACAGTACTTCGGTTCTATCACAGACACACAAACAGACACATAAGTGCTAAGCTTCAGTGAAAACGATCTTCCCACTTCTTCATATAATGGACAGGTTGAACTAACATGAAATTCATCTTGGTACAAATGGCCGATTTTACGACACCGTATCGTTCGGACTCGATCCAGATGGCGCCACTCCCAATGTAAATATTGCAAGAGCACTCCTGTAACATCCGGGCATATTCGTGGTAGCATAGTGCTAAGCTCAGTATTCAGTTGTAAAACATCTTATATGTGTTCAGGATAATATGTTTTCTAAACTGAGTATCCATAGTCGGTGTAAGAGAGTCTATGTTACACACACAGCTGTATTCACAGTCCAAATAACTTTTGCACTTTAAAGTTTCAGTATTTACACCCTGGAGATGCACATGTGTCTGTCCACAAGATGTTTCTGTTTTTGTTTTGTTTTCGATTTCTGTCCATGAGGACATGTTGCCCGATACCAGCCGTCTTCTGTGATTCACTAACGGGTACCCATCAACGGCATGTCAGTTTGAAGTCTGAGAAAAGCCAGAAGACACTTTGGTGAAACCCATGATCATGGGTATGGCGCTGATAAACCTACAAACATAATCGAGGAGAAACGGCAATAGGAACGCACACGCACACGCACACGCACACGCACACACACACACACTACATTGATGTGTTTGCACCTAAATATTACACTTCCTTATCCTCATCAGAGATTCAGTTTATCCAGGATGGAATCGGTAACCTGGCACAGCTGGCGTCCGCCTCTCGAGAAGATCTCCTCAACTGTAGCCTCGATACCGACACTGCAGACCGAATACTGGACATATTTCATAAATAGAACTCGCGTTGCTGTGTGATCGATGATGAGCTGTATTTATCTTACGTTTACTCAAAGGGTAGCCCTGAGAGGTTGGATTCATGACCGTCGAATCTCACTTAATCTGTCTGCTAACTCATACTGTATGATGGGTTTCAATCCAGCTATCAGAAATGTCCATTATTGCACAGATACAATGAGCACGTTTCTTACAAAGCAAGTATTGCAACACCCATATCAAGACTTGAAATTATCATGGAGTAGAGCCACTCTTTTATACTGTCAAAGATGTACAGAATAAACGTCTTCTGTGGATAAGACGTTTGTGTGGGGCTTTTTTGTCTGACGCACTCCAGCTGACAACGGTCTGTAAATAATCGAGTCTGGACCAGACAATCTAGTGATTAATATCATGAGCATCGATCCACGCAATTGGGATCAATGACGTGCATCAACCAAGTCAGCGAGCCTGACCACCCGGTCCCGTTAGTCGCCTCTTACGACAAGCATGGGTTCCTGAAGACCTCTTCTACCCCGGATCTTCACGGGTCACACAGCTATATGAAACAATGAACATGTTTTCATGAATCTAGATCGTAACCCGTTAGCCTACCTGCAGCAACATTCCATGCAGCAATATGACGTCAGTCTGTACATAATCGAGTCTGGACAAGACAATCCAATGATTGATATCATGAGCATCGACCCAGGCAATAGGGATAAGATTACATGTAATCAAACAAGTCAGCGATCCTGACCACCTGATCCACTAATAGTCGCCTCTCACCACAAGCTTGGATTGCTGGGGACCTATGTCCAAGCCCGGAATCCCCACGGGTCGGATGCTGTCGTATATTCGTGATTAAAGGAGAATAAAGATACATGATTTACAATAAAACAAAGGGATCTGGTCATGGCATATATACACTTTGATACAGATGAGAACTCGAGAGAGAGAAAGAGAGAGAGATGCACTACATGTTAAATGGCAATAGGACCATCATCACGTTTATCTGATTGTTGCAAGTTTCTCAATAATTCTTTTTTACTTTCATCTTCGTTACTAATCACTCAGGAACACAAAACCTACCCATCAACATCTTCCCTGTGGCAGTCTTCCACTCAACAACTGTCAGCAACTGTTACATAAAGAGCTTTAAACATCCCACATGGACAAGGCGTTGTGTCGTCATTTGGACCTTTCTTTCAGATGTACAGAAAACTCATTGCCACTCTTATGAGCTTTCATGTTATTTTTCTTAAAATGCTTCTAAGGACAGCATTTCATCGGATTATTATATTTCTTTCCTGGTTGACGGGTTAAAGCTAATACGGCACCACTTCTATACCGTACCAAATAATAGCGCGACAACGGACCCGTGCCATCCTCATACATCCACCAGGTAAACTATACTCCCTGCCTCAACGTTTTTAGAGTTTTGTAGACATAATTACCAAACTTTAAGTAATAAGTATGTCATAATTTTCAATAGATCACATCGCAACACATTGGATATCAGCGGCCCGTGAAGATTCGCGTTAGAATAGGTCTTCAGCAACCCATACTTTCCGTAAAAGGCGACTATGCTTGAGGTAAGAGATGACTAACGGGATCGGGTGGTCAGACTCGCGGACTTGGTTCATGCATGTCAAGAAATCCGCGAGTCTCTTCAAGAGAACCATTGAATAGATCATTCATGGTCAAAGCGCATTTGAGCAATTGTTAATTGGTCAATGCGTTATACAAATTATTAATTTAAAAAAATAATAATTTAATTTAATTTGCCGGATAGAGGGAAACGTTGCACCGATAGAATAAAGAAGATAACCCTGTCTTCATGTGTATTGTCTGTGCAGTATTAGTGCTGTCGTTTGTTTTCTCTACTTTTCTTTCCGTACGCTAAAAAGTGTAAACGGTGCCGTTTTGGCTGTTGTAGAAGAAATAGTGACGTTTTTTCCAGGTTCTGTTTCCATAATACTGGATCTCTGTAGGAAACGTGATTTACAGCGAGTGTATCTGTATAATGTGGAACAAATATTATAAATGACCTCGACCTGACTCAATTTACAGTCATGTCATGACATTACTGATCGAAAGTTTGACAGATTGAAAAAACATCGTCGGTGGTAAGAAAGATTTTGAAATCACCTTAAAGCCCTTCGATTGATTTACGCGAAGGCCACTTCGGGGAATAGGGTCAAAATGACCTAAACAGAAATAAAGCGAACAAAATAAGCTATGGAGATGTCTATTTATAGGTTTATCTAATACCGTTGGTTCCTAACAACCAATGAAGGTCGTATATGGATCAGGTTGTCAGACTCTTTGAATTTTTTCAAAAAGATTTTACATAAACATTTGTGCGAACTTGAAAAACTACTTCTTGGATTCTTTTCAAATTTAAGAAACACTTTCTATACTAATAGGAGAGGTGAACTGCAAAGCGTATTTTCTGAAAACGTATTGTTTTCATGTTTTGAACCAAGAAAATAATTTTACTTAAACATTTGTGCGACTTATAACTTGAGATCTACTACATGGATTTTTTTTCCAGATAGAGGTACAGTGCAAAGTTTGATTTCGATAAGTGGGTATTCAGAAACAATATTGCCTTTTTTCATGTTTTGAACTAAGAAATATTTTTTTATCACCGACATGAAAGTAAATTTTTGTTAAATTTTTTTTTGGCTTTGTCCTGCAAATTCTGTTGCATCTTTTAGTTGAAAACTACTACATGGAGTGTTTTCACATTTGGAAAAACGTTCTATATTATTAAGACGTGTGATGGAAACTGTCAGAACATTCAAAAGAATCTCAGCGTTTTTTGGGACAACCAATTCCCACAAGGCATCTTTGAATCATGCCATTACTATTAGATTATTGTGCTTTTCAAGAGAAACTGGTACAAAACGTTAAGCCATCAACATATCACCAATATCAAAATTGTTCTTCAGCTGATTGAGATCGGGGTACCTGTGAGCCCTGTTCATTTTTTGCCTTGTTTACATATTCATACTCATAAGATTTACTTTTCGAAATTATCATTGATACATACTGTCTACTTCACAGCATACTCAATGAATTAAAAGAGATATTAGTTGAAAATACTTTATTATGCTCAAATCATTAAAATATAATGTTGATCAAAATGAAAATACACATTAAAGAATAAGAACGTTCATGAAAGAAACAATAAGGAAAAACAAGTCATATTGCCAGGAAAGCATGACTGACCCAATCTCATTAAAATCAGATCTTAGTTCACGCTACCGCTAAACAAAGATCTGAGGACATCCCATTACGGGTAACGTCAGACCGACCTTGCGCGATCAAGACCAATGGAATGGCGAATACGCTTCGAAACATATTTTGACAAATTTCTCCATCACAAATTTGAAACCTGAACAAAAAATTATTCTGGAATGGGTAAAAGATGGTCTAGATTGTATGGATTCGGTCGTTAAACCCGTAACTATCGTTCGGAAAACCCCGTGTTAAAGTTTTCGAAGTTGCACAAATAGAAATATCATTCCGACTGTCACTTTCATGATCTGGTAAGTGACGCTCTGATTGGTCGGATGAAAGGTCGTTCTGACGTGACCCCTAATGGGATGTCTTCAGATCTTTGTTTAGCTGTAGTGAACTAAGATCTGATTTTAATGAGCTTGTGACTGACCAGGAATGTGTATATGTATGTATTCATGCTGGGTTACAAAGTGAGGGTTTACCCTATTTCCTCTATAAGAAGTCGATCATTTGCTCCATTCAAACAATAGAAGTCAGGCCTCTAGAAGACGCAGGGAGGTAAATAATAACCCTTTCCTGCAAAATTACCCTCTGTATGAGTGTAAAACTGTAGGATTCGGTAAGGCAGTGAGTAGCCACTGTGACAAACCTTAACAGAATAGACGACCTGCCGCTTAAAGACACTGGGTCAATGGCTTGCGAAAAATTGATAGACGCCTCGCATCTAAGAGAGGAAATACGGTACGTTGTTACTCTGTCAGTACAACTTTATCACAAGACAAAAAGGCTAATCCATGTCGGGAAACAAACACTGTATTTACATGACTAACAAATGCCCAAACTGATGGTGCATCCACCATCACAATATCAACGTTCAGACATTTCACCACTGTTAAATCAGTGAGTACACAAGATTCAGCCATTATTGTTTTTGAGAGTGATTATGGCTTTATACTACTTTTAGCAACATCAAATCAATACAATGAGGACATAAGAAATAGGCTTCACACATTGTTATCATGTTGGGGTAACGCTTTAACAATGAGGCTACCCAATCGCTGCTATATTTTGAATACACAATGCTATTTAGAAAGTGGTCAAATGTAACAAATGTTATATTTGGGATAACACTTTCATAGTAAAGTACAGATTCTCGTCCTTTTTTGGGGTTGAGTCCTGTCCAGGATTCGAAACCCACACTTGCCAGAGTGAGGCACCTAATCGCCAGCACACAAAGTCAGCGATCTAACCCACTCGACCACCGAGGCTTCAACAAAAATGAAAGTCTGACAACTCGTAGTCTAGATCACGTACTTTGAGTACCCCTCTGACAAGTGTAATTTGGCATGGCTCCCATGGCCGAAAACTATGCATACACAATGCCATTTAGAAAGTGGTCAAATGTAACAAATGTTATATTTGGGATAACACTTTCTTAGTAAAGTACAGATTCTCGTTCCCTTTTTGGGATTCCGGGTTTCGAACCCACACTTGCCAGAGGAAGTATGTGATCAAAGTATGTGATCTAGACTACCAGTTGTTACATGACAAAAGACAGAGTACATCTCATCTGAGTCAACTCTGTGAGTAAGGTGGTATGCTATTGTACCACTACCAGCAACATTCCAGCAACAAATTTGGGTATTCGGCAAGACAAGCCAAAGCTTAAACCATAAGCTAACATATGTCTACCACAGCATTACACAACATGCTTGTATGCAACATAGAAAAGGTCTGTGTCAACCTACAATTGAGATATGTGTAGATCCATCATGTTACTGGGAAATGCATGAAATTTGTGATTCAAAACCCAACATTCACTGATATGCAACAGGACTCCCTTTCAGGTTTCTTAGAAATTGAACCTGGTGACCATCTTAATATTCCTCGCAAATTCAGAAAATGTGCTTTTAGACTTAAAACCATATCAAAAACTGAATATCATTTCTCGTTAATTTGTCCAACTATTAATATGATATAATAATCTCATATTGGAGAATGAAATACTATGTCAAATGTCTAATAAATGTCATGTTAATGTCATAATAGCTCAATTATGTCCCTTTCATTGATTCTCATCTCGGTTTGAAAGTCAATGACCACGATGCTCTGAAGCCATAACTTCTCTCTGTAACCATGGTAACATAAACAGGGCCTGTCCTAGAAAGACATAAATTGAAACATAATCAAACTAAATTGAAACAAAATCAAACTAAAAAACCCTTGACCCAAGTTTGGAACCGATTTTCATCTGCTGATTAATATACTGGGTATCAAATGTACAAGGGTTCTACTTGTGGGATGGTGGGTTGGGGGGAGCCACCAATTGGGGAAGGGCATGACTATAGTGATGCATTACCCTAAACAAATGTGTGTCAATTATTCACAGTCCTTTAATGTCTAGCTCTGTAATTATTTTGTCCAAGGAATCAATGCTTCTGGTATGAATGACTATTGTTCACATTCACAAACAAAACATCATGTTTCAAATATTAATATTATTACACAAATGAATGATAACTGTCATTTTATGGTCTGAAAATACTGAATTGCATTGAACATAAAAACATATCACTTCCAATTCTTGCCTGCTTCAGAAACATTGAGAACAGATTGTCATGTCACTCTAGTCCAAATCACATTCTGTCAACATTAAAAAATGAACATCTACTTCATCTTTCATGACTACATTATCCACATATATCTGATATACAGGACTAAAAATATAAATATCAGGAGTTAACCATTTGACAGCCATTGTGTGTTTCGATTGCTTGTATGATACAGAGGGACTTTTCAGAGAATCAAGTCTTTGGTATCAGCAGTAGACACGTTAAATATTTTTAGAGCACAGGTAAATACTTCGTCCAATGTAGGGCTGGGACGAGTCCAAATTTACTACCCGGGTACCCACCCCCTATTACCCTACCATACCCGGTACCCGCTGTAGGTCTCAGGAGATGTCTCAAAATGTCCGATTGGGAACATTTTAAGCATAGCCCTGGCAAAACGTATTTAGATACATGTATTAAACGATATGGTCATTCACACTGAAGTTGACTTAAGTTATATCTTTATTCAACCATATTAAAAATCAGAAGGAATGGGTGCATAGTCAGAAAGAAATGCGAACATTAGTGACTTTAGTGTAACCATAGAGTTCTAGATAATTTTTGTCATTAAACAATATATCACGTGACTAACCACAGGTCCAGGTAGTCCTGTGGGTACCCGGGTCCTACTCAGTACCCACCCGACCCAGGTACCCGAGTTACCCATCCCAGCCCTAGTCCAATGGTATTTTGGTCGTCTGAGGTACATTTATATGATATAAAGTATACAGTATCTCGTGCTTCGTGAAACTTGTACATTTAAACATGACAGGCCTTAAACAACAAACACTTGACTGCATGAACCAGACAGCTGGTAACATGAAATCATGCAATATGCTTTGAATGTGAATGGTGGTGTTTGTCCCTGCAGTGTATGGTTTGAGAAACTCAACTATTTGCCTGGTCACTAAGATAGATAGTTAACTGATACTTTAACAGGATATAAACCTACAAGTCACAATCTGAAGAAGGGAAATAACTCAAGGCTTCTACACTTTTCTGCCAATCGCCCTAAATGAGTGAGTTGGGTTTAACGCCATTTTGAACATTATTCCAGTTATATCACGGCGTGTCAGCTTGATGTAGGACAAAGTCCCGAAGTGATGCAGATCTCAGACGTTTACCACTTTGGCGAAACCCATGAGTGAGTGAGTGAGTGAGTGAGTGAGTGAGTGAGAGTGAGTGAGTGAATTGGAGATAAAATTTTACGCCGCTTTTAACAGTATTCCGGGTATGGTGCTGACAAACCTAGAAACATAATTGGGGCGAACCGGGATTCGAACCCACAATCATAGGTTTCTGGCATGCCCAAGGGATGCAACTCTGCACAGCGAATCGCAGCACCTTAGACGACTGGGCCACCCGTGCCCCCTGAAACCCATGAGCACGGGAAAGGTGCTGGAAAACCAAGATACGTAATCAGGCCAAACCCATGATCAAAGGTATCTTATGTGACCAAGGGATTCAACTCTGCACAGCATATCTCAGCACCCTAGATGACTACACAACTACAATACAGCTGTCATACAGAACTATTGAATACTTAAGTCACATGATGACAAACTTGAATTGAAGACCTTAATGTAGAGATTAAAGATTTAAAATGAGTTGTTTTCTCCAAATTCTTCATAAATGTTTCTTGGGACAGCATTATTTTATGACATTAATCCCTTAATATATAAATCATTTCAACAAGTCGGGTCCCTAAACTTTAAATTAACACATGCCATTAGTGTGCAGGGCTCCTTTAATAACTTAGGCCATTGAGTATTTACTCATGTTATCATTCACATTGGGTATTGGATAATTTTCTTAGGGAATTCAATACTTTTTAACTCCCTTGGGTATTTTAAAACCAATGTGTAGACAGTTTTAAGATAATTCTGCTTAAAAGACTGTTGCAGATAACTTCTAAGTTTCTTCTATTCAAGTGCTGCCCCAAGTGTGTCGCATAAGCTCACAACACCAATACAATTCTCAATCACAATAAGTGAGACATAGCCGTTTGATGCATTATTCACTGCAGAAGAGTTGATAAATAGGTGATGTCTGCATTTGATCAGCAAACAAAGATATGTAAAGACATTCAAGTACACAAGCTGAAAAGGATACATTGGGGAATAATACAGTGTTGATAACTATCAGGCTTTTTTATTATTTCATGCATACTTTTATGTAACTCCAAATTAATTTGGTTATGGTGATTTTTTTGCTCATTTTATCTGGAGTTCTGAGCTTGAATCGTGTATCATTCTAACCCTAATTGTACATATTATTGTTTTTCTTAAACAGAAAGCTTGTCTGGCGAGATAAGTGAAGCAAATTCCAATAAATATTTGGTCAATTTGTCAAGTCTTCATGGTGATTGCACTCTTTTTCTCAAACTAACCATACACTACATCTAGTTCACCCTTGTCATGTCCGAGTTAAGATGCTTCTTCATCACTCTGATCATCACCAGATTGTTCTTTGGCACTCTGCGTCTGTCCATTTCCTCGGGAGTCTGAGACAAAGTCCCATTCCTTATCACCTTCAGATGAGCCGGAATCCCCTCCAGGAGACATTGGAGCATCTTTGGCCGTCTGCTCACAAGCAACTTGGATCTCTCCCTCCAATTGGTTCCCAGAATTGGATGAAACATTTTCAGCAGGATCAGTCGCACCAATTTCTTCTTCATCAGATGCTTGTTTCTTAGAATCATCAGCCTCCTCATCGGAGTTGGGTTTTTTCTCATGTGGAATGTCTGTCGGGGAATCACTCTGTCCTTCATCACTACCAATCCTCAAATATTCATCTTCCGTGGAGTCGCCCATAGCCATATTATCACTTTTCCCAGAATCCGGAGCCTCTGCCAGTTCAATGCTGGACTCATTGGAGGAAGACTTTTCAATATCTGGGTTCACAATATCATAATCGCTATTACCACTGTCAGTCTTTTCACTACTCTCAACTAAAGTATCATGACAGTCATCAACGGTCTGAGTCTTTTCACTACTCTCCACAAAATCACCATGGGAATTATTGGCATCAGGATCGACATCATCGGTGTCTTTGCTTTCAAGTTTGTTTCCCTCTGAACCAGGTTCAGTTTCCTGATTTACATTTTTGTCTGCTGTATCAACCATCTCTGCATGTTCCAATCTACCCTTCTCAATACCCAAGGGATCACCCAGCATTTCCTCTGCCACTGAAGCAGACTCTTCACCAGCATCTTCATCCTCACAAGTGTCTAAGGAACCATCCAGATCCACGCAACTGAAGCTAGGGAAAGCTAGAGCAGGTGCCCTCTCTCGGTAGTCAGCCTCCACCTCCGTGGAGCTCTCCTTGTCAGTGGATTCCTGTCTTTGCTGGCCGGGAGCTTCTAGAGAAGGATCAGCACCTTGATGACTGGGACTCTGCATCTCAGACATTTCTGTACTGTCTGTTTTCCCACTCTGATGAACTGGAGTGTCCATTGGTCGAATCTGGACATCTGTGAGTGACCCGGTCAGTGGAATCATGCTGTGGTTGTCCTCCTTCGCTGTAAACTGACCGGATGACCCTGACAGAAGGCTCTTGTTGTCCTGTTGCTGGACGCTCTGAAGGTGACGGGTTGAGGTGATTAAATCGCTGGAATCCAAAAAAGGTTTGTCAATAATTGAGTAGAAACAAGTTGTAGAGAACAATGAACAAGTTACTGTTACAGGTCTTCCCTTAGGCAAAATTCCCGAGCCTTGGGTAAAAGAACTTATAGCACAGTACTAATTCACATAGTTGAGATGCTTATGTGAGAAAAAACATGCTTAATGACATCATGTAGGCTGAACATCCCAGCCAGCAGACTTGTATGGGATCTCAAAAAACTAATTGACCAATCTGAGGTAAATCTTGAAAGAAAACAACTTAAAAGCAGTGTGCTCTTCCATATTCTGCTGCCTAGAAATAAGTAAAATGTAAGAACAACCAAATCATTTATTGTTGCTATCAAAAATAATTAAATTATTCAAAACACTGAAATTAAAACCTGTTGAAAATTTATCTCCAAAAACGAATTCAGACGAATAATGAGAGGAAACAAAAACATATATTTGAAATTGGATTTTTTTTAGTTCTATTTCATCGACCTGCCAACCTAACCCTTTGGGCCAAAAATCCATACCCTACCTAATTAAACATCAAAATGTTTGCATTTGTTTTCATAATAAAGTAAATGGACAAATGTTTCAGTCAATTTGAAAAATAACTGAAATATTTAGGCATTTTGTATATAGTCTAAGTCAAAATTGCAATCATTTTAAACATTGACTAACATATATCCACTCTACTCACAGTTCCCCAGAGGAGTCGACGGAATGGATCCCCTCCCCTGCCATGTCTGCCATCTGGATCTCCCGGACCTGCCTCGGTCCTGGTGGCTGCCTCATGGACAGCAGCAGAGACAGCCTCTGGTGCAGCGTCTGCCGCTCAGACTTCACCTTCGCACTGCAACATAGCAACATCTGACAATAGCAACTTTGTCCTGGTGTTTCGAAAACAACAAGAGTTTGCCACTAACGTGGCTATATCCCCCGCCCCTGTTGCAGAGTTTATGACATAAATATATCTAAACAAACCCTAACCTATTTTAACCGAGGTGGAACTTGTCATGGAAATTGTAAAAAAAAAAAGAGCTTGGAACCTAAGTCCATCTTGTTGCCATGGAAACGTAAAAAATAAAATTTCTAAAATTTCTAAATAGCAAAAGGCACCAGTTCAGCATGTACTTGACAGACCTGCAAAGTTTCATGAACAAATATTGAACGGTTTATGAGTTATGCTCCGGAAACGAAACATGACGGACAGACAGACTGAGCCTGTTTCTATATCCCCCGCCAACTTCCTTGGGCAGGGGATAATTACTGTAGTCCACAAAAATAATTTAATGTTCGCTTTTGAAGTATAAATTGATAAATTGTTTAAGGAACATATTTCCTCTTGCATTGCGAATGGATACAGAAAACATTCAGCACGTTCAAGATTGCCTCTAACATGCTAGACATTCTACATGGATGTATGTGTGTCAAGGCTGATATGCTTGAGAGTAAATAGATAAAGTCACAACAGTCTAGACAGATCACTAAACAATGTTAAATCCAATGCAAAACTGCAGGACATGTGGTCTGCTCTGCTAACAAAGGGAGACAAATCTGACAATCTTTTTTTTGTTGATTGACATTTAAACCAATATTGTAACAGTGTATTTTGCGATTGTGAATGTTTTACAAAAAGGTGGACAAGTACGTATAGATGAAGATAAGATTTATCTCCCTGTGTTAACTAAGCAAACAACACATCTTATAATTTTGATAAACCGTACATAGGAAACCTTTCCCAATGCCTCTTAATGCTTCAGCAACTCTTTCAATATTGAGAATCACACAAATTGATTATCATTTCTGATCAGATGGATAAATTATTTACCACAACAGCATATAGCACACCTGTAAAACACCTTCATCAAACTCCTTTTCACACTTGTGTACACGATCACAACATACAGTATCAAATTAGAAATTGTTATTCTGGTATTCCAATGTCATGCTAGATGCTGCATCCACTGATGGTAACCGATGTACAAAGGTATCTTACAGCTGTTCCTGGAGCTCCAGCACAACATTCTCCAGCATCAGCCGGTCTCGCTGCCCCTCCGCCTCCACATACTGCAGCCGCATCTCCATCCGCTGGTTGTCAGTGGAGATCTCCTCCACTTGCCGCTCTCGGAGACGCACCAGCTCCTCCAGGTAACCCTGATACACAGGTGAGAGTTAGACAACGAAATATTTCCTGTTTGTCATCCCGAAACAAGGTCAGCATAAAAGGAACTGAAATGGACGTACATAAATAATAGTTGAATGGTCTACCTTTTGTTCACAGGCACTCTTGAACTTATGTTCCAGGTTCTTGTACTTGTTCCTCCAGCTGGCGTCGTCCACGACATCCTCGCTCATGATGCTGCTGCTGATGCTGGAGTTGGACAGCTCTCTCATTTCCTCAAGGTCACTAGAAACACTCTCGGCACTGGAGTACAGGGGACATTACTAAAAAACATGGCTCAACTTCTTCAAAATTTCTCAAACTGAACCATTAACTGTTCCTCTTTTACCATCTTTCCGAGGCAAGAACGTCCATTAGCCTTTTTATCGTAAGTCTTGTATCCACCCTTGCCACATCAAGCCCACTTGACTGTGCTAAATATGATTGGACTATCGCACATATTGATAGTCCAATCAGAAAACGTTTCACAAAATCAACTTCCACGACAGGTACACCTTCGTATGAAAGGGATTTACTGCTGCCTGTCTTTGTTTACACGAATGTGTTTTTCATCTTTTAAACCCCAAACGATTGTTTATGTTTTTGTGTCTGGGATGAAATCGTGAATGTTTTATTATCTGATCGACTAAGTTGTCATCTTTGGTAGTAGCCATCTTTGAGAAGCTATATAAGACAAGAACAGTGATCTGATTGGATATTGCATCTTCATTACAAGGGGCACAACTTGAGGTGGCGCCAGGGTTGAGCCAAGGAAAAGTGTCCTTGATGTGGCAAGGATAGGAACTAGGCTTTGATATAGGCTAGTGGACAGGAAGATGCTCTTTTAAATACAAACACTGTTACCTTTTGAGAATAGCCTTAATATAACATGTAAGGAAACCAATTATAGAACTCTACACAATACAGCCAAACGAAGGATGTTTGAATAGATGGACAATGAACAGAGAAATAATGTATCAAACTGTGTGATATACAACAAGAGTCATCAGGAGATGACATATCCCCCTGGTCTGGTGCAATTCGGAAATGGCGTTTAGCTACTTATACCACACTTTTGGTAAATGGCTGATGGATACCTTCAGAGCAGTGAACAAAATAGTAATGCTGTTCAGTATTTTTCAAAATCCCAAATCATCACCAGTTCCCCACTAGACTGATCAATATAGCAAGTTTCAACAACAAGTATTTACCGATTTTGGAAAACGGAAAACAGCGGGGTGACGAACAGGCATCGTGATTGCAATATCCGCCCATTTTGAAAAAGGACAAGATCTGTGAGTGAGTGAGTGAGTGATATGTGTTAAATCCCGCTTTGAGCAGTATTCCAGTTATATCACTGCATGTCAGCTTAACATGGGAGGAAAGCTCGACGTTTACCACTTGGTGATACCCATGGGTCTGTTGCTAAAAAAACTAGAAACATAATCAGGGCAAACTGGGATTTGAACCTACAATCATAGGTTTCTAGCATGCCAAAGGTACGGAACTCAACACAGGGTATTCCAGCACCTGAAACAACTAGGCAACAGTTCCAGGAACATACCTCTGGTGGAACTGCAGGAATGGTGTGAAGTCTATGACCAGAGGTCCCAGCAAGTCCATGTTCTCCCCCTTCAGGCAGAAGCTAAAACCACATCACATTCAAATAATTTTTTAATTTGAAGTTTACACGATATACGGCTTTTCCATTGTTGTGAGGTCGGTCACATGACCGCGAGATTGACGTTTATAAGTGTATGAACGACACAATTTGACGTTCATACATTTTTCACGAGACCGTGTTCTTGAAATGACGTAAACACTGACGGACTACATCCACATTCCTGGGGAAACCCTGGTAATTCCCTAGCACGAAAACATGCATAAGCGTTCTTTCTGATCATTTAGAACCTATATTCTACGGCCCATCCTAATGAACAAACGAAGAAATGCACATCTAAACTATCGTAGTATCGACTCGATCCGTGCCTAGGCTGACATTGACCGTCTCCAGCAATCTATGAATTTACCTTTGTGTCTGTTTGACGCATCTTTATTCACCTTTCAATGATCGGCCATTTGATCAATGATGACTAATACATGTAACCGCCACAGGTTCATTAACAACTTCGGAAATCTCTCCCGTCACGTTTATCGTGTCGGCCATTTTGATGTCTTGTACTTAAATAAATGTATTACAACACGCTGTCAGTGTGACTGACTTACTGAGGTAGTTCTTTACAGACCTTTCTCATCTAATGAGGATATGATTTGAACACATGTGCTGCGTAAGATGTTTCTGAAGAGCAAGTTGTGCCCATGTCACCTCTCTTTTTGAGGAACTACTTTACTCCGCGACATAGCTGGTTGTTGTATGGCTGTCAGTGTAAACATGTAGTCACACGTACTATATATAATTGTGTTTAGATCTTGGCCTACATCCTTTGAGGTAAGAAATTGTGATAAAAAAATTATAAGAATTGACTTTCCGACATTCATACAGTTTGGCCCTCACTCTATGAAGGTTCGTACTCCAATGAACTCACACAAAGTGAAGGTCAATTCTTAAATAAACATCAAACACATGTAGTTATCATGACTACATATCACAATCAAATACACATTAAACATGTATGGTTAATAGCGGCCCTTCTCACCTGAAGTCTATAGTATTGAGGCCCAAGAACACCCCACATAGTATGACAATCTAGAGGGCTCTTCTCACCTGAAGTATATAGTATTGAGGCCCAAGAACATCCCACATAGTATGAGAATCTAGAGGGCTCTTCTCACCTGAAGTCTATAGTATTGAGGCCCAAGAACACCCCACATAGTATGACAATCTAGAGGGCTCTTCTCACCTGAAGTCTATAGTATTGAGGCCCAAGAACACCCCACATAGTATGAGAATCTAGAGGGCTCTTCTCACCTGAAGTCTATAGTATTGAGGCCCAAGAACACCCCACATAGTATGACAATCTAGAGAGCTCTTCTCACCTGAAGTCTATAGTATTGAGGCCCAAGAACACCCCACATAGTATGACAATCTAGAGGGCTCTTCTCACCTGAAGTCTATAGTATTGAGGCCCAAGAACACCCCACATAGTATGACAATCTAGAGAGCTCTTCTCACCTGAAGTCTATAGTATTGAGGCCCAATAACACCCCACATAGTATGACAATCTAGAGGGCTCTTCTCACCTGAAGTCTATAGTATTGAGGCCCAAGAACATCCCACATAGTATGACAATCTAGAGGGCTCTTCTCACCTGAGGTCTATAGTATTGAGGCCCAAGAACACCCCACATAGTATGACAATCTAGAGGGCTCTTCTCACCTGAAGTCTATAGTATTGAGGCCCAAGAACACCCCACATAGTATGACAATCTAGAGGGCTCTTCTCACCTGAAGTCTATAGTATTGAGGCCCAAGAACACCCCACATAGTATGACAATCTAGAGGGCTCTTTTCACCTGAAGTCTATAGTATTGAGGCCCAAGAACACCCCACATAGTATGACAATCTAGAGAGCTCTTCTCACCTGAACTCTATATAGTATTGAGGCCCAAGAACACCCCACATAGTATGACAATCTAGAGGGCTCTTCTCACCTGAAGTCTATAGTATTGAGGCCCAAGAACACCCCACATAGTATGACAATCTAGAGGGCTCTTCTCACCTGAAGTCTATAGTACTGAGGCCCAAGAACACCCAACATAGTATGACAATCTAGAGGGCTCTTCTCACCTGAAGTCTATAGTATTGAGGCCCAAGAACATCCCACATAGTATGACAATCTAGAGGGCTCTTCTCACCTGAAGTCTATAGTATTGAGGCCCAAGAACACCCCACATAGTATGACAATCTAGAGGGCTCTTCTCACCTGAAGTCTATAGTATTGAGGCCCAAGAACACCCACATAGTATGACAATCTAGAGGGCTCTTCTCACCTGAAGTCTATAGTATTGAGGCCCAAGAACACCCCACATAATATGACAATCTAGAGGGCTCTTCTCACCTGAAGTCTAGAGTATTGAGGCCCTAGAACACCCAACATAGTATGACAATCTAGAGAGCTCTTCTCACCTGAACTCTATATAGTATTGAGGCCCAAGAACACCCCACATAGTATGACAATCTAGAGGGCTCTTCTCACCTGAAGTCTATAGTATTGAGGCCCAAGAACACCCCACATAGTATGACAATCTAGAGGGCTCTTCTCACCTGAAGTCTATATGGTATTGAGGCCCAAGAACACCCAACATAGTATGACAATCTAGAGAGCTCTTCTCACCTGAACTCTATATAGTATTGAGGCCCAAGAACACCCCACATAGTATGACAATCTAGAGGGCTCTTCTCACCTGAAGTCTATAGTACTGAGGCCCAAGAACACCCCACATCGTATGACAATCTAGAGGGCTCTTCTCACCTGAAGTCTATAGTATTGAGGCCCAAGAACACCCCACATAGTATGACAATCTAGAGGGCTCTTCTCACCTGAAGTCTATAGTATTGAGGCCCAAGAACATCCCACATAGTATGACAATCTAGAGGGCTCTTCTCACCTGAAGTCTATAGTATTGAGGCCCAAGAACATCCCACATAGTATGACAATCTAGAGGGCTCTTCTCACCTGAAGTCTATAGTATTGAGGCCCTAGAACACCCAACATAGTATGACAATCTAGAGGGCTCTTCTCACCTGAAGTCTATAGTATTGAGGCCCAAGAACACCCCACATAGTATGACAATCTAGAGGGCTCTTCTCACCTGAAGTCTATAGTATTGAGGCCCAAGAACACCCCACATAGCATGACAATCTAGAGGGCTCTTCTCACCTGAAGTCTATAGTATTGAGGCCCAAGAACACCCCACATAGTATGACAATCTAGAGGGCTCTTCTCACCTGAAGTCTATGGTATTGAGGCCCAAGAACACCCCACATAGTATGACAATCTAGAGGGCTCTTCTCACCTGAAGTCTATAGTATTGAGGCCCAAGAACACCCCCCATAGTATGACAATCTAGAGAGCTCTTCTCACCTGAAGTCTATATAGTATTGAGGCCCAAGAACACCCCACACAGTATGACAATCTAGAGAGCTCTTCTCACCTGAACTCTATATAGTATTGAGGCCCAAGAACACCCACATAGTATGACAATCTAGAGGGCTCTTCTCACCTGAAGTCTATAGTATTGAGGCCCAAGAACACCCCACATAATATGACAATCTAGAGGGCTTTTCTCACCTGAAGTCTATAGTATTGAGGCCCAAGAACACCCCACATAGTATGACAATCTAGAGAGCTCTTCTCACCTGAACTCTATATAGTATTGAGGCCCAAGAACACCCCACATCGTATGACAATCTAGAGGGCTCTTCTCACCTGAAGTCTATAGTATTGAGGCCCAAGAACACCCCACATAGTATGACAATCTAGAAAGCTCTTCTCACCTGAACTCTATATAGTATTGAGGCCCAAGAACACCCCACATAGTATGACAATCTAGAGAGCTCTTCTCACCTGAAGTCTATAGTATTGAGGCCCAAGAACACCCCACATAGTATGACAATCTAGAGAGCTCTTCTCACCTGAACTCTATATAGTATTGAGGCCCAAGAACACCCCACATAGTATGACAATCTAGAGAGCTCTTCTCACCTGAAGTCTATAGTATTGAGGCCAAAGAACACCCCACATAGTATGACAATCTAGAGAGCTCTTCTCACCTGAACTCTATATAGTATTGAGGCCCAAGAACACCCCACATAGTATGACAATCTAGAGAGCTCTTCTCACCTGAACTCTATATAGTATTGAGGCCCAAGAACACCCCACATAGTATGACAATCTAGAGAGCTCTTCTCACCTGAACTCTATATAGTATTGAGGCCCAAGAACACCCCACATAGTATGACAATCTAGAGGGCTCTTCTCACCTGAAGTCTATATAGTATTGAGGCCCAAGAACACCCCACATAGTATGACAATCTAGAGGGCTCTTCTCACCTGAAGTCTATAGTATTGAGGCCCAAGAACACCCCACATAGTATGACAATCTAGAAAGCTCTTCTCACCTGAACTCTATATAGTATTGAGGCCCAAGAACACCCCACATAGTATGACAATCTAGAGGGCTCTTCTCACCTGAAGTCTATAGTATTGAGGCCCAAGAACACCCCACATAGTATGACAATCTAGAGAGCTCTTCTCACCTGAACTCTATATAGTATTGAGGCCCAAGAACACCCCACAAAGTATGACAATCTAGAGGGCTCTTCTCACCTGAAGTCTATAGTATTGAGGCCAAAGAACACCCCACATAGTATGACAATCTAGAGAGCTCTTCTCACCTGAACTCTATATAGTATTGAGGCCCAAGAACACCCCACATAGTATGACAATCTAGAGGGCTCTTCTCACCTGAAGTCTATAGTATTGAGGCCCAAGAACACCCCACACAGCATATTGGCATCTTCAGACAGCATTATGGCTCCATCTAGGTAGTGCTTTCTAAAAACAGAGCAAATGATTTGTCTGTCAGTGTATTATCTGCAATTCATATACAATTATCCTCTAAGATTAAGAGTGAGCGGTGGGGTTTAACGCCAATGTTAAGAGTATTCCAGTTATATCACGGGATGTCAGCTTCATCATGTTCATAAGGGAGGAAAGTGATGCAGATCTCAGATTTTACCATTTTCATGAAACCCACAAGCACGGGTATGGTGCTGACAATTCTAAAAACATAATCAGGGCAAACTGGGTTTCGAACTTGAGACCATAGGTTTCTGTCATGCCCAAGGGACACAACTCTGCACACCGAATTGTGTCACCTTACACAACTTGGCCTGCACTGCTGTGGTCACAATCAACCTTATTATTACATATGGAAAGTGTTAAAATTACCATCTGAAAATTGAAATTGTTGCTATGTACATCAATTTCATCTTCCCGAGGCAAGGGAGTTAACTGACTATAATACTCCAGTTTCCAACCTTGCCTAACAAGGCTGGAGTTATATTTTGGCTGGACTAACGAGTCTATGCATAGTCAAATGATGAACACCAACCATGACTGCCCATTTTTTTCATCTACATCTTAACAGGTTTCTCCTCGAGATTTCCTAAAATACCAATCCCATTACAATCAGATCTTAATGCTCTCTTTAAACACAAAGATCGGCCAATCAGAGTGTCGCTTACAAGATCACAAAAGAGAAAATCCAAGTGTGTTTTCTAATCCTGCAACCTTGAAAAGGCTAACACAGGCATTCTGAACAAGTCTTAAGGGCGGTAAGGCTGATTTTGAATTCTAGACATTGTCTATCTATTGGATAGACATTTGAAATGAAAGACTTTCCATAGCCCGTGGAAACCATTGCCGTGTAATCTTGGCCATCTCTTAAACCTAAAGCTGTTAAGCTCGAGAAAGCTGCTTTCTGATTGGCTAATGTTGCCCCATCAACCGTTGCCATGTATGCATGATCAAAATGCTATTGTCTGATGTTCCCATAGGTTTCGATAGTACTTTACTGATGTATGGGTGTTATTGTAGACAAACATGGCCTTAAATCAGTTTTATATATGATAAATTGGGCTGTTTCCTCAAACACTGTATGCATAATCGGTTTCTAAAGTAAATATTGATTACTTAAAGAATGATACTGTAATGTGTCTCCAAATTAACACAAATAGCACCACTTATCAGCACTGAGTAAAGCACTTCCTTAATAACAATAAACAGTGTTTTCCTAAAAACAACACACAGTTTATATGTTTACTATGTTGACTTGCATTAAGGATATAAATAATTGAACCAACAACATTTCACTGATTGGTATGCAGAGAAGGTGTTAACAAGCTTGACACGAGTGGGTAGAACTTTTGACCACAGCAGTGATAACTCACCCTATGCGTAGTGTGTAATTCCTATTCTTTGACTGACATTGTTATATACTTGTTACAACTGCTACTCAATAAACTGTGTTTGTGTTTATATTCAAGTTCGTTTTTCTGCTATCCAAAGTGTGCAGTGAGGCCTTCTTATTGTTGGATGGTCATTTGGAGACATAAATGAGAAGTTAATTAATGCGAGCAAAGACCATTCGCATTTGATTCATGCTCGCTTTAATTTAAAGATTTACAGTATTTGATAAAGAAATCATTTTATCATATACTTCAGTGTGAAAGAATGAGTTTTTTGAAGTTGAGAAAGTGAAAATAGCACTGGATATTTTAAGCCAGTGAACATAACACTTTGACGGAACTATTTCATACAAGAGTTACCTCTCAGCAAATTATCTCCCTTTATCATAAGTGTACAGCTCTGATGTATATAACTGATGACTTCATTTTTAGGTTAGTTTCATAGTGACAAGGCAAAATAATCACGATTATAAATCTTTCTTCAGTAAACTACATTTATAACGAACGCTATCAACAAACTGACCAATAAAAAAATCTCATTAAGATCAAATCTAGGTTCTTGCTGCCGCTAAACAAAGATCTGAGGACATCCCACTACAGGTCACGTCAGAACGACCTTTTGCGAACTTTGACTTACCACTGAAATGAGTAAAAAGAAGTCAACAGAAGTCAATTAGAAAGCAGCTTCCTCGAGCTTCACGGCACTTGTTTCAACCTGGCGACTTCAATTTCAGACTACGCTTTCAAAACATGTTGACACAGCTATCAGTAAAGATTTTGAAAACTGAACAAACAAACTTTCTGAGTGTCTAACATATGGTTGAGATTGTATGGCAGTGCTTCCCACGTACTGTGCAACACCTCCTCGATTCAAATGTTTCTCCCACTGAAGCGAGAGATAGACGATTACTTTGACAGAATTAGTCGTACGGGCCTTGACTGTCGTTCAGAATACCCCGTTTTACCGTTTTTGAGGTTGCATGATTAGAAAACACATTCCGACTGTCACTTTCACGATCTGTTAAGCGATGCTTTGATTGGTTGGATGAAAAGTCGTTCTGACGTGACCCGTAATGTGATGTCCTCAAATCTTTGTTTTGCCATAGCGGGAACTAAGATCTGATTTTAATAAGATTGACCAATAAAACGAATATTTTGTTTTAGTCTCTGACACTTGTTTTAAATATACTGTATATGCTTATAGAGAACTACGGTTATTAGTGGTCCCTAAGAGTTTGTTATAACCATAGTTTACTGTATTTACAATACAGAAATACTCAGCTAATAATCTCTATTTATATCTTATCTTATACTCCATAACACATTTACACTGATCCTTGTACTAAACCTCAGTTATCACTTTGTACCCATTTGAACCCTCTCATCTTGAATACAATGCATGTTGATGTAATCCCTAGTTCTTATCTATGTCCTAAATAACCATAGAATCCTGTTACAGCTATCTTGAAGGGCTTCTTGACAGATTATGGGCTAGCTCTCAAGGGCTAACAGTTTTGTCTATTAGGAGCCAATAATGTGTTCTAGAAATATTAGTAAAAACTAATTTGTCCTCAGGTTGTACATAAAAAACTGGTTCACTAGGCATGCTGGATGTTCTCAAAAATTATTGGTCTAAAAAAGTTGTTTTCAGAGAAAGAGAGTGAGTGGTTTTACGCCAATATTCCAGCAATATCACGGCGAGAGACACCAGAAAAGGGGCTTCACACACAGTACCCATGTAAGGAATCGACCCCAGGCCTTTGATGCGACAAGCAAACGCTTTAACCACTAGGTAACCCATCTGTTCCCTCTTTCAGACAAGGACATTATGTGTCTTGAAGCGCTGACTCCTGAATTAATTTTATTTATTTTTAATCAACACCTTCCCCTTCCCCACTGTGTAGTACAATCATGGCACTCATTTAGAATAGGTCCCAAGAAACCCATACTTGTCAAAGGAGGTGACACAATGGATCATTCATGACCAAATCGTGTTATTCCGGGAACAAGCTGAATAGCGTCTCGTGCCCCTCTCATGGCCATTTTTGCGACCGGGTTCCGTCTTAGCGCAAATGGGCATACCTAAAACAATTGTCAACTCATTCTGTAATGGTTCACAGATATTTCCCCATATATTATATATATTTCAGATGCAATTTTAAGAACATCGGGAGTGGCGGAATTATACAGTATGATTGAACACATTAACTGTGTCATGGATATATTTTTAGATGCAAGATGTATGTAAAATTAAAAATTATTTCTGACGGATTCTATGACGAAGAACGCGCATTCTGATTGGTTTGTCGTATTTTCGCTCGTAACATTCACCGATAGGGCCCGATTCTTCTTGCAGGTTACGGGGAGGGGCGAGTGGTGACGAATGGCAATGGATTAGCAGTGTGAGATGTTGTTCATTATATTATTCACTGGTTTGTCTCGTCCAGACTCTGTAACTTACAAGCCACAGTGACATACCTGGAATACTGCTGTGTGCAGAGTATACATGTACAACCAATATTCACAAATGAAGCCTGAACTTGTGTTAAAATCATTTGCTAAATAATAAAAAGGAAACGTTAAAATAACTGCGGGTAACCAAACTATTCGACGATTTAATTATTACAAAAAAGGTCTTAAGCATGACAGAAATTGTCAGGAACTTAAGGATTTAATTGAAATTTTGTAATGACAATAATGAGATGCACATCAAACAAGTACAACACCTATCCACTACAATCAAGCAAAAATGCATCTTTGCTTGCCACCTGAAACAGACATGGGAGAAGCATCTTCCGTATCCCTTGCCAATCGATCACCTCCATGGTCTAGTGGATTGAGAGGAAGGCCAGTGGTTTGATCCCCAGGTGGTTCAGTCCCCAGGATGTACCACACCAAAACACATAAAACAGTGGTACTTGTTACCCTTCCTAGCTCTCAACATTAGGAGATAACAAGAACGGGTCGGCTAGGAGTCTGTGTAAAGTGTCTGAATAGGGTATTCATGTTAAACTGCAGCATGGTATCTCAGTGGGCTAGCACTATAGAACCAGCATTAGTCCAAACTAGTATGAGCAGCCACACATACACACACACAGACTTCACCATGTTCACTATATGAGTGGAATAACATGTTGAACACGACATAATACCCCATTTCCCCTCACCTCACCCTTGCTGTCAGACTGACCTTGTGATATGCTGCTGCTTGGTTGCTGCACCTAAATACTCAGACAACTTCTTCTCCATTAGTGCACACCGAATGAAGGCTCGGCCCTGGAAGAGAGGTGAAAGACATATGTTCAGCTGTGAAGCTCATATTAAAAACCCTGTAAATACAAGTTATTGACCCGGGTGGCTGTTGATGGGGTACAATGACATTCAGTCAGCAAGGCCTCTGTAGACAGGTGGCAGTAACAGGTTGTCACCTATACAAGATTTGTTCATACTGAGCAGACTGTGTGACATCCAATTTCATGTATCATTGGTGCAGACTTCATAAACTCCGTGCCAGTGCCAGCAATACAATGCAGACCCTATCTCAGCAGAATGTCACTTCATATTCTCTAAAGCTTCTACACAGTGATCTATCCTAAACAAATGGCGACTTCATATATTCTCTATGGCATCTAAACAATGATGGGGGGGCACTGGTTGCCCAGTTGTCACAATTCGCTGTGCAGAATGCATCCCTGGGGCACGCCTGAAACCATTGACAATTGGTTCGAATCCCGGTTCGCCCCGATTATTTTTCTAGGTCATGCTCGTGGGTTTCACCGAAGTGGTAAACATCAAAGACCTACATCACTTCAGGCTTTCCTCACACATTAAGCTGACATGTTGCGATATAACTGTAATACTGTTAAAAGTAGCATTAAACACAACTCACTCACACACTTTACAAAGATGAATACCATAAATAGTTCTCTATAGCATCTATACAACGATGACCTCACCTTAGCAGATGGAGACTTAATATTCTCTATAGCATCTATACAACGATGACCCAACCTTAGCAGTTGCAGACTTAATATTCTCTATAGCATCTATACAACCATCCCACACCTTAGCAGTTGCAGACTTAATATTCTCTATAGCATCTATACAACGATGACCTCACCTTAGCAGATGGAGACTTAATATTCTCTATAGCATCTATACAACGATGACCCAACCTTAGCAGTTGCAGACTTAATATTCTCTATAGCATCTATACAACGATCCCACACCTTAGCAGTTGCAGACTTAATATTCTCTATAGCATCTATACAACGATAACCCCACCTTAGCAGTTGCAGACTTAATATTCTCTATAGCATCTATACAACGATCCCACACCTTAGCAGGTGCAGACTTAATATTCTCTATAGCATCTATACAACGATGACCCCACCTTAGCAGTTGCAGACTTAATATTCTCTATAGCATCTATACAACGATGACCCAACCTTAGCAGATGGAGACTTAATATTCTCTATAGCATCTATACAATGATGACCTCACCTTAGCAGATGGAGACTTAATATTCTCTATGGCATCTATGCTTGCTATACAGCTCTGGGGCACATGTCGGCACGCTGCACGAACATACTCCCAAAAGGAGCGATTGTCCCCACCTCGGTACCATGTTCTGTGAGCTGTAAATAAATAATATAGTACCTATTGGAAACAACTGACTGAAATGAGATCATCTAAAAAACAAATTTCATATTCAATAATTGCAAAGGAAGAGGGCATACACATGGTCACCCAGGTATGTGAGGTGAGGTGAAATGGGGTTTAACGTCGCCTCCAAGATTATTGCACTTATATAGCAACATGCATGTACGTGTGCGTGGCTGCTTGTACTAGTCCGGACTGATGCCAATTTATAGTGCTAGCCCAGTGAGATGCCATGCCGCAGTTTAACATGAATACCCCACTCAGACACAGTATACTGACTTCAAGCCGACCTGTCCTTGTTTTAGCCCCTTTATGCCAAGCGCCAAACAGGGTAACAACAAGTACCATCTTTAAACGTCTTTTGGTATGACGCGACCAGGGATCGAACCACGGACCTTCTGCTCTGCGGGAATGCGGTCCCCAGGTATGTAGCAGGGCGTGGAGTCATCCCACAGTTGACATCCTTACTTTGTCAGCTGGAGTATGGGGTTAACCTACTCGGTCACATGAACAAGGTGTCTGACCTCCCATTAGGTCTGTGGTATGAATCCCAGCAAAGGACTCAGAAATACATATATATATATGTAGGTGCTTTGAGAACTTGCAATTATTTACAATAAGATAAGGAGGATTTGAGAAAAACTACAAACATGATTATATATCTGACAAAATGTGACAGTTTTTGGACAACATACGCCTGATTCTGTGTAGGAGCACTTGTTCAAGAACTGCACAGAAGTTGATGAATTCCTCACACTCATCGTCAATGTTGCTGAAACAGGCCTTGTCTATAAGGCTCTTCACACAGAATCTGAAAAATAATAAGCATAATAAGTGGACAGGACACTGAGCGGCATAATCGAAATCAGTTAGGATGTCTGTTGGTATGCTTCACTGCAGAACTTGTCACATATCAGGAGTTATCCACTTCCCAGAATCAGAAACATAGAGTGAAAACCTCAAAGATATGGCACAGTATATCAAACAAAAGGTTAATTACTTCCCACTTACTATTACAAAACTTGAATGACACAGCAACACTGACTTATAACCTAGCTGCATCATGTACTGTATCATGTGTATGATGTCATCGATGTAATAGCCCCCGTGAAGATCTGGGGTAGAATAGGTCTTACTGTATATAGTTTACTGTACCCCTATGTGCATATGTAATATCTATAAAGGTTTGCATTAACAGCACCTGATAACAACTGGGGCTATTACCTTACCGCCAGCCATGAAGCAAAAAGCTAAACCGGATCAGAACAAGCCTTATTAACCAGTCATTTGACCAAAACACAAAATGGTTGATAGCAACAGCCTCTTGTCAGCCAGCATGCATAGAACATGGAGAATTTCTACTAAATATTAAATAATGGTACAAGTTAACATTTAAAAAAGTGTTGCAATACATATTTTATCCAACTCATGTATTGTGACATCTATCACTCTGATTATTAATTTGCCTTTGATTATTTTCCACAAGTAATATTGAAATAGTCAACAGCTCAATTTTGACTCATGTTTTACATTATATGACATGATTTGTGAATTAATTGATTAGCAACCACAGATTTTCAGTAGTCCTCACAGGTTTTAATCATCTGAGTTTACCAGACATACTTATCAACTACTGACCAGAAATGATGATAAGATGCGTTTTCAATATTCTTCCTAGAATTGCACCTTTCTGATCAGTCATTTCTGGTCAACACATTCAGAAATTGGAAATACAGTCTGTACTACATCGATCAATACATACATGACCTAATTTTAAGATTCTTGTATCTCAGTATAAAGCCTACACACCATCAGTGAGCCAAAGGCGTATATATATCTACATACATCTTTGAGTGAGCTGTTACAGCTCTTTACAGAAAATAAACCCATATGAATAAATCTTCAGTTGTTGGCATGACGCTAAAACAGCTAAAATAAATCAAATAATTATGCATGCTTCAATCACAATGACACTTGTGAACAATGACAAATATTGAACAAAACTAGAGAGTTTCAAATCAGAAACGAATTACATGATAAAAAAAATAATGTGTCAGCATGTAAGGATATTGGACAATTAAGATCATGCTGTCAACAACTTGATACAACATCACTTATGGACTACCAAAGAAATACGAAGTAGACATACATGCTGATTAGCAAAAACCTATTCTGGTCCTGAGATTAATGTCACTTGGAATTAAATTTGACAATTCATCAGGAAGTGATATTTAATGAGCTATCATGACCCCGTTCAGTTAGATGTTCGTTTCCTTTGTTCTCTTGACGTTTATCTGATATAAAATACGTCATCACTGACATGAAGGATTACATCGAGGTATAACTGTGAACTCTCTAAATCAATTACAAAATTTGAGCGACAACAATTTCGATGTTGATGTTCACAAATGACAGGTCACCCTTACCTGCAAACAGAAACGACATTTCGTCTTGCAACTTGGATCTGTCGGTTGGAAAGCTTGGTGCTCGTGTTTCTGTTGTCATCCATCGTTCCCACCCCTCATCTATCTATTGTTTACAGGTGGCGGGCGGAAAATGTAAACATGACACTCTACGCTCATGTGATCATAGCCCATAGGTTATGTTTGACCTTAACCTTTGACCATCGACAAATTTAGGTTTTAAACTAAACATTTTTGAGTTGTGGGTAGTAATTTTTAACCCCAAAAAATAATCTCAAAGATATAATAAAAATAAATAGCAAATGGTTTTAGGGTTCAATCAACGGGTCGACTGGGAAACTGTCTATCATATATTGTTGGCTAAGGAGAAATTATTGATGCGCGTACTAACAGGGAAACCAGTAGATGCATAATCGGCAGCGGCTGACTAGGTTCCTGTCTTGTGGGCACATAGGAAACAGCGTGTAACAACAGTGGAACCCGGTTAACAATCGTTCAGCCCATTGAAGCTCCAAACAGAGATTTGAGATCCAGAGTTTCAAACAGGTGTTTCAGGAACGATAACTCTATTCTGTAATCTTTGTTTACATGTGGACATGATACCAGGTTGTGAAACAGAGAAGCTGGAAAGAGACAATATAAATGCTGGAAAGTTGAATGTAGGGTTTCATATGAATGCTAAACACCAGGATTTTTTTTTTTTTTTCAGTTTGACAATTATTTAACTTAGGATGGAAATAACATTTCTTGGGACAGCATCAGCCTACCCAACACCATCAAGAGGAGTGTCCTGCGTTGTTCTCAAGCATGGTAATTATGTGACATTAACATGATACTCAGTCATTTATTTATGATATCTATTTCTATAATAAATGGTATATTTGGGATAACACTTTCTTAGAAAAGTACCAATTCTAGTAGAAAGCAGAACTTTGCCAAAATTCGTGGATAACCTTGATTCATGGATTGAAGTAATTATTGTGATATCACGTAAATTAAATCCTGTATGGGAATATTTGATGTACACACTTTCCGTAACCTTGCTGACCAAAAATGTTCCGAATCGCAGCATATTACACATGAGCACAGTAACGAAATGTCCATCATCGTGATGAATAGCCCTGGATCACTGATACCAAATTTTATGTTCCCCAAAAGTCGGATAAAAAATATACTGTTAGCACCAGCCTTCTCACATCTTGTCGTCTGGTTGTCTAATTATTTTACATTCACTGTACTGGGCTGCGGTACCTAGCACTACATTACTACTACATAATCCACTAATCAAGCTGACATGGATGGTGAATACAAATGGCTTGGGTATTCAAACTTTTCAGAAACGAATGGAATCTTCAGAATTTTCTTATAGTTGAATAGATGAATTAAATGATCAGTGACTACACAAAATGAAATCGTAATTTGAACCACAACTTCAGTGCATTTTCCTTACTTTTTTTTTGAGGGGGGGGGGGGGGGAGGTTAGTCCCTTCTGGGATTTGAACCCACACTCTCAGGAGTGAGGCACCTATTCACCAGCACACAAAGTCAGCGATATAACCCACTCAGCCACGAGGCTTCCACAAAAATGGAAGTCTGTCAACTGGTAATTTAGGTCACATACTTTGTATACCCCTCTGGTAAGTGTAAATTGCACAGCTTCCATGGCCAAAGGCATCGTATATTCATGGGCTTCCTCATTTTTCCTTCTTTGAAACTTTAGACTCTTAGGCCTATATAAAGTTTAAAAGATGGCTATAGGTTCCTAAAGACCATAATTTTGAGATGTCTAAAAAGACCTTACCCGAGGTTCTGTGTCATATCGTATTTTCAGTTACCATGGTTACTCTCACGTTGTTTTGTTTCCCGGCTTTGTGTATAGCATCATATATATTTGTGATTCAAAACATCACATGAATTATACCATCATAAACGCAAAATAATATTGAAGTCAATCCTGAACAATCAATACGTCATCAATAATAACTTCACAGACTGCTTACATAATCATTAAAATGATTAACATAAAGAATTGTAGACAACAATACGAAATCAGTGACACTGATCAGTGCAATAATCATGATAATGCAACACAAACCCTGCCCACTCAATTATCATCCAATCAAACATAAAAACACAAAATTGCTTATTTAGTAACCCATGAAAATCCGGGTCTTCAGAAACACATGTTTGCCCCGTAAAAAGACAACTAAACTTGTGAGAGGCGACTAACAGGATCAGGTGGTCAGACTCGCTGACTTGATTGATGCACGTCATCGTATCCCAATTACCTGGATGAATGCTCATGATGTCAATCACTGTATTGTGTGGTCCAGACTCGATTGTTTACAGACCACCATCATATAGCTGGAAAATTGCTGAGTGCAGTGTTAAACAACAAACAAAGCTTACTTAGACAATCAAATGCCATGGAATTACTTGCAATTTATTTATGTGTGAATATTATTATTTTCATCAAGTATATAATGTTTTAAATATAGATAATTACAGCTAACAAATTTCAGCGAAGACAAACATGAGTCCAAACTGTTTCTGTGTTTTCCCCCAGATAACTGGTGCTGGATGTTTGACTGTGGAGAAGGATCCCAAATTCAGCTGATGAAGAGTCCTCTAAAACCAGGGAAAATCAGCAAAATATTCATATCTCATCTCCATGGAGATCACGTAAGTCTTTCTTTCCTGAAGATCTGAATGTCTCAGTCACAAAAGCTCTGTCATACACAGTGTTCAGTGATAATCTTGAAATTTGTGGGATTCTTGTCATCTCCCATCAGGGCTTGATTTAGCTATATAAAACATGCACCAGTGTATTCTATCATGTTCTATTATTGAAAAGTGCAACCTAATATTTATGGCTACATGCACCAAGTGCATGTAAAAAAACCTCAAATTTGTATCTGACTAACATTTTCCACACAACAACGATTTGTGAACATACTGAATACTGCTAAGGTTTACTTATCATACTACATCACCATGATCACTAATCCCTGTGTTGTGTCTTATTTGTCATGTTTTTGTCAATCTCATTAAAATCAGATCTTAGTTCTCGCTATCCCATTACGGGTCACATCAGATCGACCTTTCATCTGACCAATCAAAGCGTCGCCTACCAGATCATGAAAGTGACAGTCGGAATGTGTTTTCTAATCATGCAACCTCGAAAACATTAACACCTGGTATTCAGAACGACACTTACAGCCCGTATGACGGATTCCGTTAAAATTATCGTCTATCTCTTACTTCCGTGGGATATACATTTGAACAGTGGAGGTGTTGCACAGTACGTGGGCAGCACTGCCATACAATCTCAACCATATATTAACTTTCCAGAATGTTTGTTGGTTCAGTTTTCAAAATTGTTGAACCTGGTGCAAGTTAGGATGTAAAGCAACAGAGATCCGAGGCAGCCATGATTAAGATACCATCAGCAAAAAGAATAATAATAATATGATAATGACCTTGACACGATTTACAAGGTGTCCCTGAGATTTTCTGCTCCAGTAAGTTACTAATCCGTACTCCCTATACTTGATTATACAGTGTATGATATCTCTGTTATCATGGTTATATGTTGTCAAAAGCCAAGAATTAGAATTTGTACTTTATGTAGAAAGTGTAGTTCCATTTGACAACTTTCTAAAAGGCATTGTGTATTCATAACATTTCAGCCATGGGAGCAGTGCCAATGTACACTCATCATAGGGGTACACAAAGTATGTGATCTAGACTATACCAGTTGTTGGACTTTCATGTTTGTGGAAGCCTTGGTGACAGAGTGGGTTATATCGCTGACTTTGTGTGCTGGCAATTTGGTGCCTCAATCAGAGAGTGTGGGTTCAGCCCAGGATGGGACTCAACCCCCCATAAGTACTAGAATTTGTACTTTACTGAGAAAGTGTTATCCCAAATAAAACATTTCTTATAAAAAAACTTAATTGTCTTGTGATGGAAACTGATACAAGAGAGGTAATCCAGCATGTAATTTGTTCACTCATGTCAATACATGTTACGATGAGACCCATGAAGATTCATGTTAGTAGAAGTCTTCAGCAACCCATGCTTGCCCTAACAGGCGACTATGCTTGTCATAAGAGGCGCCTAACATGATCGAGTGGTCAGACTCACTGACTTGGTTGATGCAGGTCATTGTATCCCAATTGCGTAGATCAATGCTCATGATGTCAATCACTGGATTGTTTGGTCCAGACCAGATTATTTACAGACCGCCATCATATAGTCCTTGAATATTGCCTAGTGCTGCATTAAACAACAAACAAACAAACAAAACACAATGAGATATTGGGATCACTTTGTTTTTGTTGTACAGTGTTTTTGTTGTACAGTGTTTTGGGCTCCCAGGCCTCATGTGCACCATCAGCCAGAACAACGCTAGGACGGAGCCAGTGGAGCTCTATGGACCGCTGGGACTGAGGAAGTTCCTCCGTGTATCCCTTGAGCTGTCTCGCTCACAGCTCGGGTTTGACTACATCGTTCATGAGCTGCAGGTGCTTGATAGCCAACTGCCTGCTGATTGGATGGTAAGTTCAGGCCATGTGACTTGTGCTGTAGGATGTTGATTGGTGTAATTGATTGCCTTGTATAAACCATGCTTAATCACGAAAAGAATGTTTCTGCATTTCAGAACTGACTTCAATATTTTTTGTGTTTATGCAGGTATAAAGAACCAGTGTGCACACAGCAGATGTATGCAATGTGTGCACACCAGGTTTAGCATTTAGAACTTGATAAACATTTTGAAGTTAATACTTATAAATTAAAATGTAAAAAATCATAATCATAATAACTCTTCAGTTGTTTCTCTTAATAATTACAAAAACTGTAAACAAAATTACAAAATTAGCGCAATAACGCAACAAAAGCCCCGACCATTCTATTATCAGCTAACGAGGAAACGGTAATCCTTTAGTGTCGTGGCCTTATTCTTTTTCTGTATATGGGTATGTGGAAACATAAACGCAAAAGTTATTTCTTTTTTAAGCCAATCAAATGCTACGGAATCACTTGCAATTTATTTCTTCTTGTTTCGACAAGGTTAAATGATAAAATCAGATTGAATTCGGCTTCCTCCATGTTGATTATTTTGTCTGCTGTAAACCAGTAGTGTGTTGTTCAAGGTTGTGTATCATTCATTGAAATGGATGAATTGTAATAAAGACTTTGTTTATCCATAAATCTTATCCTTACTTGCTCTGCATTGTCTTATTGGCTTCATCAGTACAGGGCAGAGACCATGTAATAGATATGGTCTCTGGTACAGGGGCATAGGTTGTCTGAGGCACTGCCATTTGCTGCCAGTCCTCTTAGGCACCGCGACTCACTGTGCAGAGTTGCGTCCTGGGCACGCCAGAAACCTATGATTGTGGGTTCGAATCCCAGTTCGCCCAAATTATGTTTCTAGGTTTATCATCACCATACCCGTGCTTGTGGGTTTCACAGAAAGTGGTAAACGTCTGAGACCTGCATCACTTCGAGCTTTCCTCCCACATTAAGCTGACATGCCGTGATATTACTGGAGTACTGTTAAAAGCGGCGTTAAACCCAACTCACTCACTCACTGTACAGAGTTGCATCCCTTAGGCATCACAGGATGCTCTGATCATGGGTTCACATCGTAGGTTTACACTGATCCTTGGTTTGTCAGTACCATACCATGGCTTGTAGGTTTCAGTGAAGTGGTGAACACCTTACACCTACATAATACTCGGGCTTTCCTCCCACATTACGCTGACGCTGACATACATGATGTAATACTCTTTAAAGAGGCCTGAACACCTACTCACTCACTCACTCATCAGTGTGGGGTCGAGTGATGCCTGTTGAGATATTGTACTGTATTTTTTCTCTGTGGCAGGAATGGACAGTAGACCACGCCGCTGATGAAAAACTCCATCCAAACGAGAAGGCAGGTAGACTTATCTCCCCTGATGAAAATGGTGTGTGGCAACTGTGAGTGATTTGATTGGTTTCACAATGTTAGACAGACATTGGTAGACACAGGGTAGACACATGGTGCTAGTGGTAGAAAAATGGTAGTAATAGACACATGGTAGTCATGGCAGTGGTAGACACATGGTCATTGGTAGTGGTATTGGTAGTGGTACAAACCATTCAGTGGTAGACAAATGGTAGACACAGGCTTGATACTTGGTAGTGGTAGACATATGGTAGATGTATGGTAGTAGTGGACACTTGGTAGAGACAGGGTAATGGTAGACAAAGGGTAATGGAAGACAGATGGTAGACACAAGCTAGATACTTGATAGTGGTAGACGTTTGGTAGTGGTGGACACTTGGTTGACACAGGGTAATTGTAGATATACACCATGATAGACAGACACATTGTAGTGGTAGACACATGGTAGACATATAGTGATGTATGACATAAAGTAAACATATTATATGGTAGCTAGACATATATTAGACATATAGTGGAAGACACATGGTAGGTAAATGGTAGTGCTAGACACAAGCTAGACATATGGTAGTGGTAGACATATCGTATAGTGGTCGACAAAATACCTTACTCAAACAATAAATGTCTGTTTCTAATATGTATATGCTAAATCTGATTGCATAATACGATTAGAACAAGTCTAAACTGACCAAGGGGCAATAGGGTAGCCTAGTGGTAAAAGTGTTCCCTCGTCACACCGAAGACTTGGGTTCAATTCCCCACATGGGTACAATGTGTGAAGCCCTTTTCTGGTGTCCCCCTTCGTAATATTGCTGTAATATTGCTAAAAGTTGCATAAAACCATACTCACTCACAAAAGTAACCATTCTTAAACACAAACTGGCTAATAGTATCGATATCTGGCTAGTTTGGCCACATTCAACATAGAGAATTTCATCCAATATTAAGTATTGTATTTGTATCAAGCATCGCATCCCATGATGAGGTAAGCCTGTTGTGACAGCTGCTGATTGTGACTCTTTGTCCTGTAGGTTCAATGATGGGAAGTTCCATGTGCAGGGTGTTCAACTCCAACATCGGGTGCCATCGTTTGGGTTCGCTATACAGGAGGCACCTCAACCAGGAAGGTAGGACCACTCATGCTGACCTGTCATGTTCCTATGCATATAGCTCTATAGACCTAAATAAGTTGATCAGATTTGTACGCCAAAACATATGAGACCAAAATGTGTAGTTTGAAAGCAAGAATGTAATTTGTCTACTTTATGTTTCTCAAATGTAACCATCAAGGAAATCATCTTCCCGAGGCAAGAGAGTTAACTGACTTTAAAAGTCCAGTTTCCACCCTTGCCAAACTAGGCTGGAATTCCTGGGCTTGATCGTAGCGCCACCAGTGGTTATTATGAGTTATGTCCCTTCTGAGCCGCTCCTATGGACCAATCCCATCCCATCACTTGCATTTGTTTCAAACAAAATGGCGACGCCCAGTCAAGATGATCTGATCAATAATCAAGATCTATATTGTGATAAAACGGGTCTAACAACGCAAAGTGCATCAAATCACGTGAGCACCTTGATTAAAAACATGCAAAGGTTTTGAAAATATCAGTTGACAATGAGTTGGCGGCGCACATGCTTTGCAAATCCTGCAATCGACCGAAATATGCACGACAGTTTACGAACTAGATTTCGATTTCAGTGAGCGATTTTGATTGGACTATGCATAGACTCGTTAGTCCAGCCAAAATGTAACTCCATAATACCAGCCTAGTTCGGCAAGGGTGGAAATTGGACTTTTATAGTCAGTTAACTCTCTTGCCTCGGGAAGATGCAAGGAAATGCACTCAGTTAATTTTGGCAATATTCAAGGGATGAGCAGTATGGTATGTGTATGTTTACAGCAAGCTCAGCACATATTCACCATGCAGCTCAAGACTTATCTCAGGGCACGGGTGGCCCAGTCGTCTAAGGCGCTGCGATTCGCTGTGTAGAGTTGTGTCCCTTGGGTACGCCCGAAACCTATGATTGTGGGTTCGAATCCTGGTTCGCCCTGATTATGTTTTTAGGTTTGTCAGCACCATACCTGTGCTTGTGGGTTTCACTGAAGTGGTAAACGTCTGAGACCAGCATCACTTCAGGCTTTCCTCCCACATTAAGCTGACACGCCGCGATATAACTGGAGTACTGTTAAAAGCGGCATTAAATCCAACTCACTCACTCACTCACTCACTCACTCACTGTTTGGTGATGTGCCACTAGTTTACCTCAGTCTCACTCACTCACTCACTCACTCACTCACTCACTCACTCACTCACTCACTCACTCACTCACTCACTCACTCACTCACTCAAGTCTAATCTCAAAACATTATATGTTGTTATTCTGCTTAGTCCAGACCAATATTTCTCTTTTTATATTAATGTTCCATCGAACTGATTTTTATCTGATTTCAAAGAAAAAATAAACATGAAACATGATGAAGAATTTGGTTTCTGAATCCCGGTAGTTGCCCCATAAGTCAGGAAATATTTAGTTTTGGTGGGTTTTTTCCTACCCATCCAACTAATTTTTAGTGCCATTTCATACAAATATTTTATGAAAATGCCTTGGTTACAGATTTGACGTGCAGGCAGCTAAGTCTCTGGGGATCCCACCTGGGCCCCTGTATTCTAAACTCAAGTCAGGAGAAGCAGTTGTCCTTGAAGATGGGACTAAGGTATTGAGGGTTTGACACTGATTATAACAGAATGACAGTCATAACATCATAATATTCAGAGCTACAGATAAGCAGCGTTTTTGCATAAAATACCGCCCCCAAAATATTCAAAAGCCAATTACTTTCAATTAACTTGCGTACAGAAATGCATGCATTAAATGGAAAACTCAAATGTATAAATCAGCTCGCGTAAGTACCCAATGAAGCTTTTTCAGCATGCTTACAGGGGAGCTAATTTCAGAAACACAATTACGAGCTAATTTACTTTCCGAGTCAAGATGTATATTTAGAACAGTTATATTCATCTAACCCATTATTTCATATTTCATGTTATAGCCCCTTAATGACTAGCGCCTAACAAGAAGTACATTTGGTATGACACGGCCGGGGATCAAACCCCCAACCTTCTCTCTAGGTGGATGCTCTACCACTAGACAACGGATGCGCTCGGCATTAAGGGAATTAAGCAAAGATTGATCAGCTCAGAGTCACTATACTATGTCTGAGTTGGGTATCCATGTTAAAAATGTGTGGCCTCATATCTCTGTGGGCTAGTACTATACAAAATGACATATTCCAGACTAGTACAAGCAGCTACACACACACACGCACGTGCATGCATATCACTATATAAGTGTAATAACCTTGAACGTGCTGTTAACCCAGTTACACCTCAACTTCACATGTTATCGTGGCCCCGCTGTCTGTGCAGGTGGATGCGAGTGAGGTGGTCGGCCCATCCAGACCTGGCCGTCACATCCTGGTGATGGGAGACACCAGTGACTCCTCCGAGGTGGTCAAGGTAGGGAGAGGAGCAGATGTCCTCATACATGAAGCAACACTGGAGAACGCCCTGTGGGAGAAGTGCTTGGAGAATGGTCATTCCACACCAGGTGAACCTTCACATATCACTTCCGCCATCTTCTTCTTTCAGACCAAGATTCATCATAAGGCCACTCACCACAAACAGCTGCCAAGTTGTTGATGCACCATAAAGCAACATTCACTCTCTTACTCCACATATAATCGTGCCAACCCCCTTCTTTTATGCAGGATGGCACCCTCACATACTGATACAGTACCCATCTTCCTGAGGCAAGGGAGTTAACTGACTGTAAAAGTCCAGTTTCCACCCTTGCCCAACTAGGTTGCAATTGTGGAATTATATTTTGGCTGGACTAACGAGTCTATGCATAGCCCAATCAAAATCATGTAACTAAATCGACACGATTCGTAAATAACATGGATTTCAACGTGCAGATTTCGGTTGACTGCAGGATTTGCAAAAGATGTGTACCGTCAACTGGGCGTTGACAAATATTTTCCAAATCTTTTCATGTTTTTAATCAAGGTGCTCACCTGATTTGATGTACTTTGCGAGGTAAGACCTATTATATTGCAATACAGATCTTGATCATCGATCAGATTGTCTTGACTGGGCGCAGCCATTTTATTTGAAGCAAATGCAATTGATTTGAGAGGTGGAATCTGATTGGTCAATAGGAGGGGCATAGAAGAGACCTAACTCATGATAGCCCTGGTGGCGCTACCAGTGAGCACAGAAAAATTCCAGAATTGTTCAGCAAGGGTGGAAACTGGACTTTTACAGTCAGTTAACTCCCTTGCCTCAGGAAGATGACTAATACCATGGAATTCATTGCCTTGACATGATTGACTTAGAGAAAATAACTACATGAAACACTACCCAGTGTGCTGGCAGTGTCACATAAGTTATCACGTAATGCTTTGAAACGGTATGGGAACATGTGCACATAATCTTGAGTGAGTGAGTGAGTATGGTTTTACGCCGCTTTTAGCAATATTCCAGCAATATCATGGCGGGGGACACCAGAAATGGGCTTCACACATTGTACCCATGTTGGGAATCGAACCGGGGTCTTCGGCATGACGAGCGAACGCTTTAACCACTAGGCTACCCGACCGCCCCTACATAATCTTGAAGTGTCCACAGTTTGATGATGTGAAGCCAAAGGAAGGATGACAAATTACACATAGCACAGGTTTTAGTTACAGGCCTATAGTATGGTAAATAAGGCCTGGAGGTATTATGTTCAATTATCAATGTTATATGGTCCAGTAAGGGTAGGGGCGGTCAGGTAGCCTTGTGGTTAAAGCGTTCGCTCGTCATGCCGAAGACCCCGGTTCGATTCCCGACATGGGTACAATGTGTGAAGCCCATTTCTGGTGTCCCCCGCCGTGATATTGCTGGAATATTGCTAAAAGCGGCGTAAAACCATACTCACTCACTCACTCCAGTAAGGGTAAGTCAGATACAAATGGAAAGTTTTTGACATGCACTAAGTGCATGTAGACATAAATATTAGGTTGCATTTTTTTAATAATAGGTTGCACTGGTGCATGTTTTTTATAGTTAAATCAAGCCCTGCTACCTGTGCTTAAAAAATTAGCATAGAATCCAAAGCTGATATCTTCCAGGTTATCTATTTCAGCACGTAAAGCACCCTCACATGTTGAGAACATGGAATTCATTGCCTTCAAAAAATGCTTGATTTAGAGAAAATGTCAACATAAAACACAATTAGTTTTTGAAAAAAAACCTAGAATATGAAGCTGATATCTAACTGGTTGTGTATGCCTATCACTTTAAAGTTATTGTCCCCCGCCGCACGAAAGCGTGAAGCGGGGGATATAGTATTCATGACCGTCACTACGTCCGTCCGTACGTCCCACCTGTTTGTTGCCGCGATATCTCAAGAACTAAATGCTGGATTGTCTTCATATTTGGAACTATGGTGTATATACAAATTCCGCAGACACCAGTTGGTTTTGGTGACCTTGACCCCATTTTCAAGGTCACAGCAGGCAAATCTGCTTTTGGAGTTGGAAAACGGTGTTGCCGCGATATCTCAAGAACTAAATGCTGGATTGTCTTCATATTTGAAACTATGGTGTATATACAGACACCGCAGACACCAGTCGGTTTTGGTGACCTTGACCCCATTTTCAAGGTCACAGCAGGCAAATCTGCTTTTGGAGTTGGAAAACGGTGTTGCCGCGATATCTCAAGAACTAAATGCTGGATTGTCTTCATATTTGAAACTATGGTGTATATACAGACACCGCAGACACCAGTCGGTTTTGGTGACCTTGACCCCATTTTCAAGGTCACAGCAGGCAAATCTGCTTTTGGAGTTGGAAAACGGTGTTGCAGCGATATCTCAAGAACTAAACACTGGATTGTTTTCATATTTGGAACTATGGTGTATATACAGACTCCGCAGACACCAGTCGGTTTTGGTGACCTTGACCCCATTTTAAGGTCACAGCAGGCAAATCTGCTTTTGGAGTTAGAAAACGGTGTTGCCGCGATATCTCAAGAACTAATCGCTGGATTGTCTTCATATTTGGAACTATGGTGTATATACAGACTCCCCAGACATCAGTCGGTTTTGGTGACCTTGACCCCATTTTCAAGGTCACAGCAGGCAAATCTGTTTTTGGAGTTGGAAAACGGTGTTGCCGCAATATCTCAAGAACTAATCGCTGGATTGTCTTCATATTTGGTACTATGGTGTATATACAGGCGGGGGACATGATATATCACACATCATCCTTACCACCAGGGCAGTTGTTTAGTCTGCTCTCTGGTTTAGATGGGAATTGAGCTCCAGAACAACTGCCCTGGTGGTAAGGATGATGTGTGATATATTCAAAGTGCATAGTCCACAGTGGTCTTAATGTAAGCACTACTCAGATACACAAGTGGCCATATTTGTTTTGTATTGCAATAATGTCATCACTTGTTTTCTGTGTCTCCTAGCAATGGCGGCGGAGTTGGCACAGCAGCTGGATGTGGGACAACTTATACTCACCCACTTCAGTCAGAGATACAGGCCGCTATCATATGATGCTCAGGTTCGTACTCACAGTCCTGGCAAACTGGTACTAAAAATACTGCTACTGAAACCTGGATATGTCAAACTGGATGTCTCATATTCCCAGCTGTTTTAAACTGAAATTTTAGTCCCAAAAATTTCATTGATTGTGTGCAATTGTGCCCAAATCAAATGAATTGTTGGTCATGCTTTCAGTCACTGTTTTTTCTGGTCCAGGCTCTTTTTCCATTCAATTTCTCACTAGGGCTGGGACGAGGCACCAATTGTGCGATCCGATACATATCACGATACCTTGCTCGCAATCTGATATGTATCACGACTCTGATCGGTGGTGCGTAAGCCATCTTTTTCATAGACAGGATGGCCAAATACCTGGCACACTAACGATTTACAGTTGGCAATGGATGAAAATATTTACATTGTCACTACTCATTTTCACTTGTAATTAGTGTTTAGAATAACATTTATTAAAGGCTACTTTTAAGGTAAGAATTGATACTTACAACATTGTATGCGATTGCGATCGAGAAGTAAAATATCGCAATCGTTCGATGCATCGGTGTATCGTTCCACTACAATTATTCACCCACCTATCTGTTCAAAGTTCTGAAAAGAATGCACTTCTCATGTTTTAACTTCTGATCTCATTGATATCCAATAAAAGCGATCTGTTCGCACAACAAAATACACAGACAGACAGACAGACAGACAGACAGACAGACAGACATGTTTATTCAGTAAAAGGCCAATGGCCCAAAACTAAAACATGTGAGCATGACATTTACAGGGCACAGAATTTATCATTAATTATTTTGTGAGCATAACATAAGAATTTACAAACTAGAAATAATGTTTGCTCATTATAATTACTAAGAATATTTATTACATGAGAATCACTGTATAGGAAGATTAACAAGGTATTTTTGTCTTAGTGCAGAATATAAATTACAATTAAAGAGTACATGAAATTCATCCTCAATGACATTAACTCCCTTACTACTACAATAGTTACAGAATCTGAGTGAACGGTCTGTTTTACTATATCTGCCAGTTTCTAAAGCTATTTTAAAATTTGAACATCTGAATTTAGTAAAAACAATTCTTAAATGGGTAGGGAGTGGACATGACAAGTACCTTTCAACATTTAACATGGATTTAAAATGCTTATAAAGATCACATTTTGGAGAAGAGTTTACAGAAGCACTCCAGAATTGCTGTAAATTATCACAAAGTGCTAGAATAACATGTCCAGAAACGTTCCAAGCATCGTTTTTAGATTCAAACACTGAACAGAGTCTGTTTATATCCAAAGACGAAATGGCCAGAGTGGGTCTCTCTGAAGACATGGTGGGGGCAACATGCATGCTTTTAATGGGAAACATGCATTGTTGGGTGATGAAAGTTCCGAAGAAAGTGAAACGTAGCAACAACCGTCTGACAGTTCTTTGAGTGACCCTGACTGAACCGAGTCCAGATTAAGCACAAACGTTTGTCATCAAGTAATGCTCATTGTTGAAAATGCAGCAACATGATTGTCGAGAAATGTACAGATTCATCATACTATGATTTAGTGTCTTATTGCAAGTAGTGCACAGATAAACAGTGCACAGGGTCGCCCAAGAAATGGATGTCAATATGTAAAGTTTTTAACGTAAAGACATGGTTATGATCTGTTCTTACTGTCACCAATGCCACCTACCAGTGTCAATAACTGCCAGGCAAGAAGAACCCACCACAGATCTGTGTCGGCAAGCACAGGGCGTCAGTTGCCATCGGTTGTCAAGGGCTAATGTCAGGTGTTAACGTCCATACTTTAGGATATGCGTTTCTCTTGGAATTGAGTATATATGTCCAGTTAATGAAGTTAACACGTTTCAGTGGGTTTCATTTCTCCATTATTCCAGGAAGGGGAGGACTCGGTGAAGAAGCTGCTTGAAGAGGCTGAGAATGTCCTGGGGAAGGGCAAGGTCATCTGTGCTGAAGACATGTTCTCCTACACAGTACCAATGAAGAAGACTTGAAACATTCCTGATATGATGAACTCTGTCTTGGAGTGACCAGTATCGACAGGTTCTCCCCACTGGGAAGACTGAGACTATAAATGATGAACCGTTCAGTTTGTAGATGGTGTGTGAGGACACAGGCCTTGGATGACTGAGGTCTCTGTTGCTGATGTTTGAAACGGTGTCCATGATGTCATCGGCATGTATGACTGAAGATCTCTGTTGCTGATGTTTGAAATGGTGTCCATGATGTCATCGGCATGTATGACTGAGGTCTCTGTTGCTGATGTTTGAAACGGTGTCCATGATGCCATCGGCATGTATGACTGAAGGTCTCTGTTGCTGATGTTTGAAATGGTGTCCATGATGTCATCGGCATGTATGACTGAGGTCTCTGTTGCTGATGTTTGAAACGGTGTCCATGATGCCATCGGCATGTATGACTGAAGTCTCTGTTGCTGATGTTTGAAACAGTGTCCATTATGCCATCGGCATGTATGACTGAAGATCTCTGTTGCTGATGTTTGAAACGGTGTCAATGATGCCATCGGCATGTATGACTGAAGGTCTCTGTTGCTGATGTTTGAAACGGTGTCCATGATGCCATCGGCATGTATGACTGAAGGTATCTGTTGCTGATGTTTGAAACGGTGTCCATGATGCCATCGGCATGTATGACTGAAGGTATCTGTTGCTGATGTTTGAAAAAGTTCCCAGTAATTTATGCTTGTCGTACAAAGCGACCGAATAAATCTTGTACAAACTTCCTTGACTGGACTTGGGTGTCACCATAGCCAAATTGTGAGGGCTGATCCTCATGATATCACTTACTGATTTGTCTGAATAATCCAGTGATTGACATCATGAGAATCTATCTACAAAATTGGGATATGATGACATGCATCAACCACGTCAGCAAGCCTGATGACCTGATCCATTCGTCCTCTTATGACAAGCAAACGCTGTGAAGACCAATCCTAACCCGGACCTTCACGGATCTGCAACTAATTCGTTCAGGGAAGAAGAAGAAATTTAAATTGAATATTAATGATATGTACTTTTTGTCAATTTATTAGAGGTTTTTTGTTATGAATTGTTGTTTATCAAAATATTGTTGACAATAAATTTAGTCACTGCTTATTATTAACAGGTGTGCTGCAGTGTCATAATTCTATTTCCAAATGTGTATTTCAATACTTGGCCATAGTTTCCATGCAACTTACAAAATTACATCAAAAACGTATATGCACCTTTCCACCTGTCTATATTTCTTAATAACAGTTTGTCCACAAAAATAACTTTAAACAGAAAGGAAGAACATTTCCTACCCTTTTGGTTTATCAGCTAGACAAACCAATACTAGTATAATGTTAAATTGCATAAGTTACCTGTGTTCATGAAACATGTCAACCCTTCTTTTCTCCTTTGGTATATGTAACAAGTTACTTTACATGTACATTATCATGAGAAGGTTATCACTAAATGCAATAGAACATGTATGCTCCTCACTTAAATTATCAATGAATAAAACTACACGTGGACTCCATGTAACTTTCGCAAATCAATTACCTGTGGTGTACAAAATGCCCTGTTTTCTCTGAACATGGTACACACTTTTTGTGCAAATTTCACAACTAGATGAATACATATTTGAGTTTGGTCAGAACAGTTTTAATGAGCCTTTCGATACATATTTATTCTGGGATGCCATTGTAACATATGGAAGCCTTTCAGGGCCATTTGTTTGGTGTCTTTTTTTTTAATTTAGAGATAATAAGTTGAGATTTCAACTTATTATCTTGAAATTTCAACTTAATATCTTGAAATTTCAACTTGGTATCTTGAAATTTCAAATTGGTTTCTTGAAATTTCAAAGGAAGAGCATTTATTGATGTCAACGTTTTTATTATGAGGTATTCCATAAATTCTCTTCCTTATGTGTATCACTTCTAAATGCCTTTCGAAGACTTGAAATTTCAAGAAGAAAAAGGGGGGGACATTGGCCCTAAAAGGCTTCCGTAGTAACACGTTTGTGGCCCAGTATTCAAATTGTGCTGAAGCACAAACTAGGATGATTTGATAATGTGATTTGATATAATGACATGTGAAGAAAATAGACAACCAAATTCAAACACGATTTATTTGAAAAGTACAGAAAATTACATTCCTGTGAATACTCTGTGTGGATGTGTTTGCTACCCAATAGGATTTGAATTCAACCTGTTAAAAAATAAACAGGAAAATATAAAATGGTTAAAAAATGAAGTGAATCAATAAAACATGATGTTGATCAAGGACTCGGTGTTTTGGTCGCCTGGTGGTCACAACTTGGCATTAATAAATATGACCTCAGACCAATACTTGTTCAAGCGTTACAAAGAAACCACAGCAGGTAACCACAACGGGGTCTTCCTACTTGTCCAGCACCTATTTGTTATGGACATTAAATCACCCTAGCGTGGTGATTGGTAAGACTGGTGACAATGCTTGTCATAAGAGGCAACTAACGGGATCGGGTGGTCAGGCTCGCTGACTTGGTTGATGCATGTCATCATATCCCAATTGTGTGGATCGATGCTGATGTCAATCACTGGATTGTCTGGTCCAGACTTGATTATTTACAGACTGCTGTCATACAGCTGGAATATTGCTGAGTGCGGCGTTAAACAACACACAAACAAGCGGTTGGTAAGGCAATGGGGAATTAAGGGGGCCCTCACCCAAAATTGGTGAACCACAATCACACAGCTAACTAGCATGTATGAATACAAGTGAGTGATCGCTCACAATCAAATTGGTGAACCAGTTTCACATCAGAAGTGTATAAAAGGTATCCCAGACAAGAAACGGCATTCCATTATGGCGAATGCACAAGTTGATATACAATTTATTCCAAATTCTAAAGGTGGACGCCACTTGATCTTTGCCGAGCACAAAGTCATGATTAAAACAAGACGTCAAACTTCCATTCATTGGAAATGTTCGCAACGAGGATGTCCTGCCACCATAAATTCCAAAGATGACCTTTTCACGAAATAAAATAATGTCCATAACCATTTGGCTTATTACAACACCCACCTTGCACCAACACATATCGTCATCGACCCGTGAAGATCCGGGGTAGAATAGGTCTTCAGCAACCCATGCTTGCCGTAAAAGGCGACTATGCTTGTCGTAAGAGACGAGTAAGGGGATTGGGTGGTCAGGCTCGCTAACTTGGTTGATGCATGTCAACGATCCCAATTGCGTGGATTGATGCTCATGATATTAATCACTGGATTGTCTGTTCCAGACTTGATTATTTACAGACCGCCGTCCTATAGCTTGAATATTGCTGAGTGCGGCGTTAAACAACAAACAAACAAACCAACCAACCATATCGTCATCGCTCGAGGACACATTTTATTGTTATATAAAAACAATAAGGCAACGATTCTGGTCTAAATTCGGGCGTTATTTCGTAGTTGTTTCTTTGAGTTTCACTGTGTACTGTGTACGGGGTTGATAATGTTATATTGTGTTTGGAAGGGCGATAAAGGACGTTACAGATGTATTAAAGAAGCAGATAATAAAACCTATGTTTGGGAAACAAAGGAATAAACAGGGTATTTGGTTTTATCTACGGACGTTACTCTATATCACAGCGAAAACAAGGAATAAACAGGGTATTTGGTTTCATCTACGGGCGTTACTCTATTTCACAGCGAACAAGGAATAAACAGGGTATTTGGTTTCATCTGCGGACGTTACTCTATTTCACAGCGAAAACAAGGAATAAACAGGGTATTTGGTTTCATCTGCGGACGTTACTCTATTTCACAGCGAACAAGGAATAAACAGGGTATTTGGTTTCATCTGCGGACGTTACTCTATTTCACAGCGAACAAGGAATAAACAGGGTATTTGGTTTCATCTGCGGACGTTACTCTATTTCACAGCGAACAAGGAATAAACAGGGTATTTGGTTTCATCGGACGTTACTTACTCTATCTCACAGAGGAAGAACATTCGGTCTGTGCAGGGAGCGTCGTTCCACTGGTAGTTATCTGAAGTCATGAGCGCCAAGCAGTCCTCAGTGACGGAGGTGCCACTGCCGACGTTGTTTGGCTCCCCGGGTTTCCAGTTGCTGTACTGTATATGGTCCATGGTGTTGGTCCACATCCACTCCTGGTTCACCAGGAGGTCGGACCCACCAAGCCAAATGTCCAGCGTCAGGTGGCCTGCACGTGTTACAACCAGAGAGTGAGTTGGGATTAACACGGCTTTGAACAGTATCTGAGTAATTTTACAGATTTGGATCCATGCAATTGGTTTGGTTTAACGTCTCTTTGAACAATACCTCAGTAATTGTACGGCGTTGGAAGCATACAGGGAGTTTGGCCTAACGCCTCTTTGAACAATACCTCAGTACTTTTACGGCGTTGGAAGCATACAGAGGGTTTGGTTTAACGCCTCTTTGAACAATACCTCAGTAATTGTACGGCGATGAAAGCATAGAGAGGGTTTGGTTTAACGCCTCTTTGAACAATACCTCAGTAATTGTACGGCGATGGAAGCATACAGAGGGTTTGGTTTAACGCCACTTTGAACAATACCTCAGTACTTTTACGGCGTTGGAAGCATACAGAGGGTTTGGTTTAACGCCTCTTTGAACAATATCTCAGTAATTGTACGGCGATGGAAGCATACAGAGGGTTTGGTTTAACGCCTCTTTGAACAATATCTCAGTAATTGTACGGCGATGGAAGCATACAGAGGGTTTGGTTTAACGCCTCTTTGAACAATATCTCAGTAATTGTACGGCGATGGAAGCATACAGAGGGTTTGGTTTAACGCCTCTTTGAACAATATCTCAGTAATTGTACGGCGATGGAACCATACAGAGGGTTTGGTTTAACGCCTCTTTGAACAGTACCATAGTAATTGTACGGCGATGGAAGCATACAGAGGGTTTGGTTTAACGCCTCTTTGAACAATATCTCAGTAATTGTACGGCGATGGAAGCATACAGAGGGTTTGGTTTAACGCCTCTTTGAACAGTACCACAGTAATTTTACGGCGATGGAACCATACTGAGGGTTTGGCCTAACGCCTCTTTGAACAGTACCACAGTAATTTTACGGCGTTGCAACCGTGCAGGGAGTTTGGTGTAACGCCTCTTTGAACAGTACCACAGTAATTTTACGGCGTTGCAACCGTGCAGGGAGTTTGGTGTAACGCCTCTTTGAACAGTATCTGAGTAATGTTACAGTATTTGAACAATACAGTTTGCTTTTACGCAATTTTAAAAAGTTACAGTTAGAGTTGATTTAAAAAAATAAGTTGAAAATAATATATTCACATGAAACGATTTGTTTGGTTTTAAGTATTCAACGCAGGCTAACCCAAGCGAAGGGCGGTCGGGTAGCCTTGTGCTTAAAGCTTTCGCTCGTCACGCCGAAGACCCGAGTTGGATTCCCGACATGGGTACAATGTGTGAAGCCCATTTCAGGTGTCCCCCGCAGTGATATTGCTGGAAACTTGCTAAAAGCGGCGTAAAACCATACTCAGTCACTCCAATTTGATAAAACACCCTACTTAAAGCCTCTAAAGGTTCGCGCAGGATGTATCGTATTACTATTGTGCAGTCCATTGATGTAGTTCTCCACAAAATCCTGTTCCTGTTGGTCCGTTATCATGGCAAGTTTCGCACCAAAGGTTTTGCAGAATACCTGTAGGAAAACACCACCATGTTCATTATCAGGCATAGATATACACAGACGAAGTTCCAATAACACCAAATATAACAAATGCCATATTTGGGAGAACACATTCTTTGTAAAGTAGAGACGGAAGCCTCGGTGTCTGAGTGGATTCGATCGCTGACTTTGTGTGCTGGCGATTAGGAGTCGCACTCTGGCAGTGTGGGTTCGAATCCCGTATGGGACTCAACCCCCCAAAACCAAAAAAGTACGAGATTCTGTAATTTACTAAGAAAGTGTTATGACATTTGTCACATTTAACCGCCTTCGAAATGGCATTGTGTATTCACACCAAATATTATGATGTGAGTGAGTGAGTATGATTTTACGCCGCTTTTAGCAATATTCCAGCAATATCACGGCGGGGGACACCAGAAATGGGCTTCACACATTGTACCCATGTCGGGAATCGAACCCGGGTCTTCGGCGTGACGAGCGAACGCTTTAACCACTAGGCTACCCGACCGCCCCATATTATGATGTTTAACCTATTACGGCGAAACTGGATAATGAACAAGATATTTATTTGGTTTTATAAAATTGTTACTTCATCCTTTGCGTTTCTAAAACGGAAATAATTATATCCATTTACATGGATAGGAGCAACATCACCGACATGTCATGGATCAAATATAACGTGCATTCATAGTACTGGTGTAAGAGTAGAGGCAGTGCAGGTTATAGATTTCACCTTGGATCGAAGACTCAATACACCTGCGTGTCCTTGAACAGTGTATGTAGCCATCATCAATCACGTACAGTGAAACCTTCACAGGCCGGACCCTGTTACACCGGACACCCGTCCACCAGACTATCCCATATTGAAACGCGTGCATATAACCACAGGTACAAGGCTCCAATGACTCGTAAATCCAGACTATTTCACTGACACTCTACCGTCTGGATTAACGGGGTCCCTCCGCGGTTATATATGTAGAAACCATATATAGGATTTTTGGAGTGTTTTGACACATTGCATGTCATTGAAATAGGATCTTTTGTCATACGGTACTCCACTGTAGTGAGTGAGTGAGTGAGGTTTTACGCCGCTTTTAGCAATATTCCAGCAATATCACGGCGGGGGACACCAGAAATGGGCTTCACACATTGTACCCATGTCGGGAATCGAACCCGGGTCTTCGGCGTGACGAGCTAACGCTTTAACCACTAGGCTACCCGACCGCCCCTACTCCACTGTAACCAGGGTGATATATTAACGGCATCTCCTTACCACAGATTCGGGCCACGTGGCAGCCAGGGGGAACATCTTGTAGCAGGACTCGCTGTGTGAGACGTACCCGGGGGGACAGCTCCCCTGACCTGGGGGGATACATGTGACTATAGGTACTACCTCCAATCGGAAGTCCATGAAAATATTCTGGATGCTCACGTGTAATCCGTGCTTAATTCTATTATCTGGTGAACAATGACAAAATCGTAAGTGCAATATCGTTTTTTTCCACAGCGACGTTTATTTTTTAGGATGTTTTCTTTCACGATCCATAAATTGGTAGCCTAAACGGATTAACCAATTATAGACCTGTATATTGAGACATTGTAGCACTAAGATAGCTTTGTGAACACAGTGCAACAGACTGGGACATGGTAGCACTAAGATCACTGTCAACATTGTACAACAGACTGAGCGGTTGTAGCACTAAGATCGCTTTGTGAACACTTTGCTGCCAACTGGGACACCGTGGCATTAAGATCACTTGGTGAACACTGCACTATACATTGCAACACTAGGGTCGCTTTGTGAACACAGTGCAACAGACTGAGACATGGTAGCACTAATATCGCTTTGTTGGAGTGACTGTTGTTTAATACTAGTAAGAAATATTCCAGCCATATATTGAGACTTGTAAATAATCGAGTCTACATCAGACAAACCAGTGATTGAAAGCATGAACAACATTCACTCCATCGGATCTAGCCAAGTCACCAAGTCTGACAACTGGCTCCTCTTCAGTCGGCACTTTTGACCAGTATGGGATCATGGGGACATATTCTTCCCTGGAATCTCCACTAAGTCCAGATTAACGCTACGATCGATTTGTTGAACGAGCTCTGATGCTATCTAGGCACATAACTTGAGCACTGATCCCAGAGAAAATGGGTATCAATCGATACATCAGATTAAGACCATATAGTAAAGAGTTGTTTCATTATAATAACAATATTGACCCACCTGCTACGAGGACAAAGGCTGACACGAAAGGCAAATACTTGAGTACCTTCTCCATGATCGTCTACTATCTCCCTGCTCCTGAGAACACGACATGTGGGCGATAGGCCGCCACCACAGTTTGTTGTAAATTGTTACACATAAAATTAAGCACCACGTGACATAATATTTTGTTCGTTTTGTTTCTTGTTTAACGCCGCACTCAATATTCAAGCTATACGACGGAGGTCTGTAAATAATCGAGTCCGGACCTTGCAATCCAGTGACTGACATCGTGAGCATCGATCCATAAAAGATATGTTGTGTACAAATGGTTTTACATATGTGTGGTTAAATCTTTTGTCTGTAAATCCTCTGATATTTGTCTCTTTGTTTAAACAAAGACTTATAGATAATTACTAGTATAAACAACAATGAACTCAGACCTCAATAATAGTAGAAAGTTGATGTTGTACAGAAGTCTAAAAGTAACTTTTGGTTATGAACTATATCTCAATATTTTACCACGGGGTCTACGGAAATATGATTATGATTAGAATATCGAGTCACAAGATAAAAATAGAAGTTGGACGATATCACAACATTATCAAAGCTCTTAGATACTGTGATTATTGTCAAGCTAGAAGTGTTAATGTACTTGAAGATGAGTATCATTTTCTATTAATATGTCCCAAATAAACTGACGTCCAAAAGAAACTTTACCAGAGTTTGAAATCACTCTTGCTCAAAAACAACAAAACATACATGCATGAAGTAAAGTGTATTGAGAAGATCAATATATCAACATAATCAACACTGAAAATGACAATCATACCGCGACCGAGAATGACGTCAGAGCCCCCCAAAGTTGGGTGTGGTACAAAACTCGAGCTTTCAGAATCATGGACAATAGGCAGAGTACATAAACAATAGCTCACGTTCAATAATAGGTCATTAATAGCGTGTGTGACCACCAAATGCCTCAATACACGCAAAAACTCTTCGATGCACACAAAAAGTCTGTCGTCTGATGAGGTCACGTGGGATTTGACGCCATTCATCTTGGAGGGCCAAGATCAGTTCTTGCCGGTTGGCTGGAGAGTGTGGTCGTTGTCGAACACGACGATCCATCAAGTCCCAGAGGTGTTCTATGGGGGACATGTCGGGTGAGCGTGCAGGCCACGGCAGGACGTTGACGTTGTTGGCTGCGAGGAAGTTAGTGACAATTCTGGCTATATGGGCTCTAGCGTTGTCATGCTGATAAATGACACCATGTGGCTGCTGTTGGAGAAATGGTAGGACAACTTGACGAAGTATTTTATCCATGTAACGCTGAGCTGTCAAGTTTCCGTCAACGATGACCAGCGGTGTCCTCTCCTGCCCAAAGATCCCTCCCCACACCAGGACACTCCCTCCACCATATGGTAAGACCTCCTGCATGCAACACTTCGGGCTTTCCTCCCACTTTAATTCAAAGCGGCGTTAAACCCAACTCGCTAACCCTGGATGTGAATACACATGCATTTCCATGTAGACATTTACTCGATGTCGACTAAATGAGGGACGAGGAGTGTTAGTGGCATGACAATGTCGGAATGTAGTTCTGAACCGCTAGTAGATAACTTGGTATGATAACTTATGTCATATGTAAAAAATCATCTTACTGAAAGTGTAAATACAAGCGACAAAACCCTTTCCATATTCACTAGAAATCTCTGCCAACAACATAGTCGATTGTACGATTCCGACTATTCAACACTATCAAATAGTGATGATACCAGGTGTTCGCGAAAAGATGAGCGTTTGGAAATATAGTGCACTCATGGAGGAACCTCATGGCAACTAGTACACTGTTGCGACGGCTTTTTCCAACACAGGACTTAGTCATGGTACCAGTGAAAGGTACCAGTGAGATGAACAATGGTATTGATACATTGTGACAACCATACCTTAGCATCTCATCCAGATATGTAGTCCCCATCGACCACGTACTCCGATTTACATATTTATCCATAATCTTAATTTTAAACCCCTGGCTACATATAGTCCCGTTTTGAGTCCTCTTGATACGAATATGTCCCCTCCTGATCTAACGGCAGCTGACTGATGGATAATAATTTTAAAAAGCAAATGCGAATTACACTATTGCGGGAATGTACAAACGAAACAAAACTTGTTCACTGCCACTAGTTCATAACAGAAATGTTTTCAAACATAAATCATTTGTCAACGCTCGGCTGTGTCCGTGCCCGTTCAGCTTGGTCCCAACTGCAAATGGCACACTACACTACCCATGAACCACTATGGCATGAACAGCAATGGCTATAAAGACACTCTTTCCTGGTGTTCTGGTTCTCACAGGTTTAATCAAAGGTAATTAAAACAATATTTTCTTCATTGAAATCAAAGTTTAGGTTTCTCTTCTTAAATCTTTACCTGTCAGGAATGAATACAACATGTAATATGTGTTTTAAATTACGTATTTAATTTTGTCTAATTATCAAATGCTTCGATATATACCATTGATGTGATGGTTTTATTCTGAAACTTTAAACATCATTACATGCCATTTAATTTTCTTCCCAGGTGTTCTGTGGTAAGTATTAATATAACATTTGTTCATAAGCCGGCTAGGCCGATATATTTTACCTGCTGACATTTCTTTAGTAAACCGTATTTTAAAAAGTGCAATCATAATAAACAGAATCATTTGGCTTCTGTTTATAAAACGCTTACACCACTAACACTAATTTTCTGCCCACTTTCACGACACCCACAACTCGAGCCACACGGTACCTAGTGTCAGTTCTATGTTCTAGTTCCCGTTTTGCAATGCTGTTCCATACAATCGTCAGATTAAGGGTATATTTTCCATCTCGGTATAAACAAATCAATCACATTCAGAACCATTTTCTGTGATTGCGTTACTGACATGTATCATAATCCTATTTCATATAAAGAATTACACAATGTGGGTCAGTGGTGTTGTCTGACATAGTCTACATGTCTGTGTTTTGCAGTAGCCATGCATTCTATTCATACAGTGGTATAGCAGTGTGTGGACCTGGCCCAGTCTCACAGAACGCTATATTGTTTGCAGTTATTAATTGGTTTTCTTAACCTCAGACAATAGGGAAATTGATGTATTCCTGAGTACGCCGGCATTCCATGCACGATTGAGGCTCTGGCCAGGCGCTGAAGTTTACTGTGTGAATGAATTATGAGGGGAAATGGGTTTTATATAGCGACGTTTGTGTGCGTGTGTGTGTCTGTCTGTCACTCTTTCTGTCTGTCTGTCTGTCTGTCTGTCTGTTTAACATGGCTATAGGAAAATGTATACTGCTTTATAGTCAATTTGACATAAGTCTTTCATTGTCGGGAAAATATAAGCTTAAGTTATTACTAACACATGTGTCTCTATTCATACCAACCCAAAAGACTTTGCTTGTTTTTAACATATGCATGGTGTAATTCTCCACTGGATGTTTCCACTTGGTTAATCACTAATAAACATTAGTGGTATCACCCTTGCGGGTTTTATAGAATATTCGAGGCCCCGAAAGTTTATTTGAACCGACGACGTTACCTAAATATATGTGTTATCAGATTTGCGGCTTTTATTGGTTTGGTTTGTTTTGTTGTTGAACGCCGCACTCAGCAATATACCAGCTATATGACGGCGGGCTGTAAATAATCGAGTCTGCACCAGATAATCCAGTGATTGACGTCATGAGCATCGATCTAGGTGTTGGGATGCGATGAAATGCATCAACCAACTCAGTTAGCCTGCCCACCCGATCCCGTTAGTCGCCTATTTTGCCATCCCGTTGCATGGGTTGCAGAAGACCAATTCTAAATCGGAGAAATCTCCACTCAAAGCCCATTTTCCCGAAGCAAGAGAGTAAACCGACTTTAAAAGTCCAGTTTACAGTAATCCAGTGATTGACGTCATGAGCATCGATCCACGCAATTGGGATACGATGACATGCATCAACCAAGTCAGCGAGTCTGACCACCCGATCCCGTTAGTCGCCTCTTACGACAAGCATAGTCGCCTTTTAGCGGCTTTCATTGAGCATTCGAAGTCCGGAATGTGTATCAACATTGTATAATACTACAGTTATTAGTCATCATCGAAGTGATGATAAATATTACGCGAACTTATATCTAATTAACGTGGTGTACATTTTGCCAAACCAAATGGCACATGTTTCAAATTGGTATTGAAAACAAAATGCTTTTCAATGAAGTATCCATGCACAGTGAATGCTCCAGGATTTTTCCGGGCTTCGAATCCGATTTAATCTCATTTTCAACCAATCAGATTTCAGCACACACTCCCATTCGTTTCACAATGCTCAAATGATGCAACTTAACTGAGACAGACGAAACTTTGTCACAGACGTGCTTATTAAAGAAATGTCTGTCAAAATAATGCTGAGTCTTATCAAATACCAAACAGACTCGGAATGGTTACATCTCCCGCCATCTTTTCCAAAGCGGTTTTATGAAGACGTGACTTCGTGTATGTGTTAGTCAAATGTTTCTATCAACGTGAAAGCTGTGTGACCGTGTTTTCCTTCCCCAGCCATAGCCACCCCTCCTTCTGGGTAGATGTAGGGGTGGACGTCGGCTACGCCGCCCTCATCACCGTCTGCCTCCTCATCATGGCCTGTGTCCTCGCCATCGCAGCCTGCTATATCTGTTCCGCACAACGAGCATCAGGCCGGGTCGTGCACTTCAACACTGCTAACCAAGGTAGTCTATCTCCATTACTCAAATAAAAGCGACAAAAACTGTTTCCATAATTATAAATAATCTCTACTTCTTGTGTGTTTGTTGTTGAACGCCTTATGACGGCGATCTGTAAATAATCGAGTGTGGACAACATAATCCAGTGATTGACGTCATGAGCATCGATCTACGGTGTTGGGATGCGATGACATGCATCAACCAACTCTGTTAGCCTGCCCACCCGACCCCGTTAGTCGCCCCTTTAGCCATCCCGTTAGACGCATGGGTTGCAGAAGACCAATTCTAACTCGGAGAAATCTCAACTCAAAGCCAAGGATTCCGAACATATAAAACATGTATTGTTGCGTAAATCAAAATGACTGATCGCAGTTGAACCACTTTTAGCATTCGGGTTCGCTCGGCTTATTCCGTTAATCACATGATACCACGGTGATAAAAGGTGACTATGCTTGTCGTAAGTTGCGACTGATGGGATCGGGTCATCTTTCCGATGCAAGGGAGTTAACTGACTGAAAAACTCAAGTGTCTAGTACGAGTTATGTCCCTTCTATGTTCTTGCTTTTGGCCAATCAGATTCCACCTCATATCCCTTGCATTTGCGTCAAACAAAATGGCGGCACCCAGTCAAGACGATCCGAACGATAATCAAAATCTATATTGTGATAAAACGGGTCTTACTTCGCGAAGTGCTTTAAATAAGGTGAGCACCTTGATTAAAAACGATTTGGAAAATATCTGTTTACGCCGAGTTGTCTGTGCACATGCTCTGCAAATCCTGCAATCGACGGCAGTTTACGAACCGGGTGTCGATTTCGTTTGATTGGACTATGCATAGACTCGTTGGTCCAGCCAAAACATAACTCTATAATTCGGCAAGGGTGGAAACTGGTTTATAGTCAATTCACTCTCTTGCCGCGGGAAGATGGGATTGGGTGGTCTGACTTCGATGACTTGGTAGATACATGTCATCGTATCACAAATGCGTGGATCGATGTTCATGATGTCAATCACTGGTCCAGACTCGACTATTCACAGACCGCCGGCATATGGCTGCAATATTGCTGAGTGCGACGTAAAATAACAAACAAACAAACAATCCACGGTGGACAAAAGGATCCTGTCGTATCATACATGGTGGTTAGGGTCACATCTGCTGTCAAATTTTCTTGTTATGTGATGGTCACATGAACTAGAGAAACTAGCAAATAGAGATCCAATATGATGAGGATTCAGGTGTAGATTACCCCCTTAAATGTTATTTTTTAAGATAAAAGCGAACGCCACTCTCAATTGTATTATGTATTATTTAAGAGTGAAAAGCGATTGTCAAACATGATTTATCTCGGATATTATTTTGGTTCAAACCTCGTATCAACTGGTCATGTTGTCTTCATTATAGTACTGGTTCAGACTCTCTCCCGACCTCCATGGACACTGACTGCGACCTCTGACCCGGAACTCTCCATCCATGGATTTGCCTTCGCTGGTGAAGGCATCACGATTGTCGACAGCAACACCCTAGAACGTAAACGTTCACGACGCCCTATAACAGTTGGCGCCAAGTGGTCACGTGGGGTGTCACATGGTAAGCACATGTACGAGGTCATCTGGCCGGAAGTCCACAGAGGAGTCACAGCATCAGTTGGTGTGGGTACTGCCACGACGCCATTGTTCATTAAGGGGAAGGTCACTTTGGTTGGCATGACAGCAGCCTCGTGGGGATTTGACATCGCCAAAAAGACGATATTTCACAACTCAGCGCCGGGGAGGAGGTGTCCACCAAACGAAGAGGACATCATCCCTGAGAGGTTTTTCATGTATGTTGACATGGACCGTGGAGAGCTGGGCTTCGGGTCCAGCAACGAGTACTGGGGAGTGATGGCGGAAAACATCCATAACTTGAACCAACCCCTATATGTGATGGTGGGAGCCAACGTGTCCATGGCTCGACTGCAAGTTTTCTACAGAGGTTCTGGTAGGCCATTCCATTAGAAGTGTTGTCATAGCTAACCCCTATTGTTGCTTTCAGATCTAATGAAGATCGGGTCATTTTAGTGAGTGATTGAGTATGCAGGTGAAATAAAGTACGCGTCCTTCTTAGAGTGAGTGAGTTTGATTTAAAGCCGTCTTCAGCAATATTCCAGCAGTATCATGGCGGGAGACACCAGAAATAGGCTTCACACATTGTACAAATGTGGGAAATCGAACTCGGGTCTTCGGCGGGACGAGCGAACACTTTAACCACTAGGCACCCCACCGCCCCTAGGGTCATTTTAAGAATGTGAACGTGTTTGTGTCAATTCCATTAAAATCTGATCTTTTACTTTCATGACCCGTGAAGATCCGGTTAGAATAGATCTTCAGCAACCCATGCTTGTCATAAAAGGCGACTACGCTTGTCGTTAGAGGCGACTAACGGGATCGGGTGGTGAGGCTCGCCGACTTGGTTGATGCTTGTCATCGATCCCAATTGCGTGGATCGATGCTCATGATGTCAATCACTGGATTGTCTGGTCCAGACTCGATTATTTACAGACCGCCGTCATATAGCTGGAATATTGCTGAGTGCGGCGTTAAACAACAAACAAACAAACTCTCATATACCTCTCTGTGTTCAGATCTGAGAACACCTCTAAATGAAGGATGCGTTGGTTCTTGAACCAGTCAGATGTCAAAAACCAGTTTCATTTGTGTATCGCCACAATTCGAAACTGTCGATTTTAGCAAACGAAGACCCACGTAGGACACAAATATGTCTTCGATGGTACCCCCTTTTGAATGTTGATTCCACAGAGCTAAAATACAACAGGGCGTGCAAGATACCTACAACGATATAATTGCGCGACCTTCAATATGTACATTCGGTAAAGGCCGTCTAAGTTCGTTTGCTACAGTTATTTTAGTGTGAATGCTTCCGCTCACCCCACTTGGAATTTAGAAGCCCCAATGTTCATCGGTTGATCTCCTTTGGAGATGTCCTCATATCTCTCAGAGGTATCGTATCGGAGAACCAGATCTGATTTGATGAGATTGGTGGCTGTGTATGTCGAGATACCGATCTTGATTCTGATTCTGATGCTCATGAATCAATCGCTGGATTGTCTGGTCCAGACTCGATTATTTACAGACAGCCGTTATATAGTTGGAATATAGCCGAGTACGGCGTTAAATAACAAACAAACAAACAAATTTTGATAGGGATCCTGAGATAATTTTATTAAAATGTACATAAACTTATACAACTTATCAATTCAGAGCAAAACGGAATAGTAATAATATCCTCACTATAATTTGAGTAATACAACAAAAGTCAGGAATATAATGCATTTCCGTTTCTTTCTTTTCATAGCCATATCGAGTGCCATGCGTAATACAGCTGCGGCGGCCATGACGACACCCACACCTCCTGCTTGTTCCACCCCCGACCGCGCGAAGCCCGAAGAACTGGATCTTCACAAGCGAGCCACGTATCAGTCAATCGCAACGCGTGAGTAATGACGTCACAAATTCTTCCTCTGTTCATTCAAAACATTAACAGCAGTGTTTTTAGGATACCGCTTAAGTTGTGATAAATATGAACAAAGATGGATATAAATCATATGTTCCTTGAAGGTTTTTCTTTACTTATAAGCACCAGAATATCTGACGAAATTCAAACTTGACCTATCGTTTTGTGTCAATAAGATCAGTAAATGCGCTATTGTGTGACCGAAATATCTGGTGCATCACTTGATTATCTGGTCAAAACACGAATGTTTTCAGGCCGCCGTCGTGTGGTATGAGTACACGGCGTCAGGCAACAATCGAAAACACTCCTTTATGTAAATTGTGTGAGTGAGGTGAGGCGAGGTGAAATTGGGTTTAACGTCGCGTCCAATATTATTGCACTTACATAGCGACGTGTATGCACGTGTGTGTGTGTGGCTGCTTGTACTAGTCCGGACTGATGCCAATTTATAGTGCTAGCTCACTGAGATACCATGCCGCAGTTAAACATGAATACCCCACTCAGACACAGTATACTGACTCCGAGCCGACCAGTACTTGTTTTAGCCCCTTAATGCCGAGCGCCAGACAGGGTAACAACCATCTTTTAACGTCTTTTGGTATGACGCGGCCGGGGATCGAACCCCGAACCTATCGCTCTCCGCTCAACCACTAGGCCACGGAGGCGGTCCAAATTGTGTGAGTGGCGGGTGCCCCCTGTTGGGCAGGACCTGCTTACACTTTTTGCGAACACCTGGTGTCATCGCTGATTTTCAGTGATCCATTCATATACTTTTCCGTGCTATTTTGCCTTTTACGCCAAATGTCAACTGTTTCGGCGGATAATCGAGACTGGATAACCTCTGGCGTTGACGTTTCATGTTATAGTGCCAATATCCTGAGGCGTATTTCGAGTAAATTCTAAACACTCACCAAGTAATACCAATGTTTAAAACAATCCCCTTCTGAAACTACTAATAAAAGAAAATTGAGATTATGTGATGAAATCAACTTCCCAGAGTGTGGGAGAGTTAACTGACTTTCTTCGGGAAGATGATATGACATATGAGATTTGACTTATTTTTTCTGGATTGTCTGGTCCAGACTCGATTATTTACAGACCGCCGTCATATAGCTGGAATATTGCTGAGTGCGGCGTTAACCAACAAACCAACCAACTTATTTTTTCAATTTCGTGTCCACAGGACGTGCACAAGCTTGGACCCACGACCCAGCCACTGAGGACGCTGCATCAGAAGATGCCTCGTTCCAGCTCCCACTCTCTCCGCCTCCTCCCTATACTAGATTCTGATTTTGTGCTGGAAACCCGTGTCTTCATCTGTGAACGTTTTCTGTAAATTTACTTCTGCTGAATTGTTAATATTTAACGGTACTTTTAACTGACGATCAAGTGCTGCGACCACTCTTAATATAGGTTCAGTACAACGTATGGGTGCTACAATGATTTGTGAAGACAGGCACACATTTCGGAGCATATCGGTGTGAGAAAGGTTTTATGCCGCGTTTAGCACTATACCAACAATATCACGGCGGGGGGAAACAGAAATCGGCTTCATACATTGTAAACGTATGGGAATCGAGCCAGGACCCTAGGCGTGACGAGCGATCGCTTTTATCACAAAGTTCCCCACTGCCCCAACACAATGACACACATTCACAATGACACACATTCACAAGGACACACATTCACAATGACACACATTCACAATGACACACATTCACAAGGACACACATTCACAAGGACACACATTCACAATGACACACATTCACAATGACACACATTCACAATGACACACATTCACAAGGACACACATTCACAAGGACACACATTCACAATGACACACATTCACAATGACACACATTCACAAGGACACACATTCACAAGGACACACATTCACAATGACACACATTCACAATGACACACATTCACAATGACACACATTCACAAGGACACACATTCACAATGACACACATTCACAATGACACACATTCACAATGACACACATTCACAAGGACACACATTCACAAGGACACACATTCACAATGACACACATTCACAAGGACACACATTCACAATGACACACATTCACAATGACACACATTCACAAGGACACACATTCACAAGGACACACATTCACAAGGACACACATTCACAAGGACACACATTCACAATGACACACATTCACAAGGACACACATTCACAAGGACACACATTCACAAGGACACACATTCACAAGGACACATTCACAAGGACACACATTCACAATGACACACATTCACAATGACACACATTCACAAGGACACACATTCACAATGACACACATTCACAATGACACACATTCACAATGACACACATTCACAATGACACACATTCACAAGGACAAGATGAAGCATACATACAATCCGTAAAGATTGCAGATATTACGGCTGATATATGACTGACACATCATTGCATTTGGTGAACGCTGCTTGACTAAATGATGTTGTTGGACTGTTTTAACACTATATTTCTCATAATGTCCAAGTGTGTGTTTGTATTAGAACATGTAATTTCCTAAAAATATATGCGACAAAAACCCTTTGAACATTCATAAGAAAATTCGTGTATTTTTCCGATGGTTTTACAAACGTTATAAAAACGTGACTGGGCTGAAAACAGTCGCGGAAACGGTGCAAACTGAAAGTTCAAAAGGTTCAAAGCACAGCTATGATACCCGTATCAAATACATCACCATCCAATAACTATTTCTTGTTCGTTTCATATTTATCCACCATCAAGCATGAATGCATACATTCTTTTCCTCGGTTATATATGGGCATGTGATTATGGATAACTATCAAATAGTGATGATTCCAGATGTTCACGTAACGGTGAGCGTATCCTGCGTATCTGAGTATCCTACCAGTCATAAACACACGCAAAGGCAAGCCAATGATCAAGTCGATCAGGGGCGGGTGGTGGTCTTATGCAGCTGTAGCCGTAAAATATTAACCTCCCCCTACACATACCAATCACCCCATACCCAACCCCTCCCACGCCCAATCACCCACCACACCCCAGCTTTTTCACTGCCTTGAACCAATATTGACACTTGTCACTTTCAGACATTTTGACCTAATATATATTATATAAGGACATGACCCCATTAGGCCGGGCTTGAAATTAAGACAACCGTTGCCAAGCAACCTATGTTGCTTACCAATGCAGCGCCCGCTGCACTGCAACTACCGTTGCCAAGCAACCCTTACCAATGCAGCACCCGCTGCCCTGCAACTACAAGTAACCCATGTTGCTATGCAGCTAGCGCTGCCAGGCAACTACCATTGCCAAATAATGAGCGAGAGCAACTATTGTTGGCAAGCTGACCATTTGCTGTAAAGCGGACACTAAGCAATCAGCAAGCAGAATGGATAAATTGTTTCCTGCTGTAAAGCGGGCATCCCTATCCTATATAATTTATAATTTGGGATGTATCCCAAGATGC